ACACATACAGCACACACACACTAACAGTACCCTCACACACACAGCACCCTTACACACACAGCACCCTTACACATACACACACATTAACAGCACCCTCACACTAACAGCACCCTTACACACACACACACCACCCTCACAAACACACACACAGCGACCTCACACACAGCACCCTTACACATACACACACTAACAGCACCCTCACACACACACAGTGCCCTCACACACACAGCACCCTTACACACACACACAGCACCTTCACACACACACAGTGCCTACACACACACACAACACCTACACACACAGCACCCACACACACACACACACAGCACCTACACACTTCTGTTTGAAATTATCAGTGTTAGTTTTTAATTCTACAGTAGTGTGTGTGTGTGTATGTATATGTATGTGTATATATATATATGCGGCGTGTGTGTTTGTGCTTTAGGGTGCACACCCTTATACAATGGGCTGCGCATGCCTATGTGGATATGGTGTGTGTTTATAGTGAATGCAATGTGTGTGTGTAAGTGAGGAAGTAAGTATGTGTATAGTGGATGTAGTATGTGTATGGGTGCATTTTCTTGTGGGACGGGGGGGTAGTCTGTGGTGGAGGGAGGGGGGAGGTGAAAGGGGTGCATATTTTTTATCACTATTATTTTTTAGCATATTTAACTTTATTTCTCCCTCACAGCTTTTTGTTTCAGGCATCTGCCATGTGTGCACTGTTCTTATGAGAAAGACATTGAGTAAGAGAGGTAAAAGCTGTGAGTCTCTTGGGTATCCCCCTCACCATGTTACCCTGATATGGCCCAGGGACCTCCAGATATATATATATCTCAATATTTGCTTTATATGAACAATTGCAATATGGAATTAGGGCCCCTTACAGTTGTATGGCCTGTACCTCCCCTACAATGGTAGCCTGGGCAGAATTATCAGGGATGCAATGGTTGCTATGGCGATCAGGACCTGTAGTTCTGTGTGTAAACGTGGAGCCTAGGCTTGTTGGGCCTTTCCCCTTACAAAATAGTTATTTAATATATCGCCATTTTGGCTATGTGTTAAATAATTTTTAAAGTCCTTCCGCTCATTCAGTGAGTCACAGTGCTGCTGCTGGATCTCCTTGGCAACATACATAGCCATCACTTGCTAGCACTGGTAATGCCTGGTTTTGCTTTGACACAAAAGAATTGACAAATACCTCAGAGCTCTTAGAGTCCACTGTCCACTGGGCCAGTCCCATTTCAGGGTGGCCTGGTCAGACAGCAGAGCTCTGCTTGTGTTTGGGTTTAGCTGCTACCACAACTTAATATGAACATTGAACCTATGTCAACAATCACCGATATTAGTAATATTGAGAGTATTAAAACAAGTGAGAATTATGGCAAATTGTAAAGGATAAAGGACATGTCTCATATAGCCAGTTCAATTTGGAGCCAGATATCTTGACTAGGGCTTTTCTAGATGGTTGCCACTCAGTCTGCACCCACAGTGATCCTTTTGGCGATGTTGCGCTTTGACTCGCATTCTTGTATGAAATGTTCCTCTGGCTTGGTAAATGTTCTGCCTCCTGTGGTGTTGTGGTAATACATGTGATCACATTTCGTGACATTATAAGTTTCACTGGGATCACCTATCTATATAGTATGTTGTGATCTTGGGGAGCTGTGACTACCCCAGTAAATTATCTTCTTAACTCAATGGTGAACAGAGAAAGATCTGCAAAAATGTTTAGGTGCTGGAATTCTTTTGGGTAGTAAGCTGGGTTCATAGCTCTCCTAAAGATGTCTTCCCTGACTCCATAATAATGTATGCAAGTTATTACATCCCTAGGAGTACTTTTGGGTAGTCTAGCTGCTTTGGGTAGTCGGTGAGTTATGTCTAGGAGCACTGGCTTAGGGGGTAGAAGTGCTGATAAGAGTCTTTGAACATAAGTTGCCAGATTTGCCGGTTTTATGACCTCTGAGATCCCTCGTATTCTGAGGTTGTTACAGCGGGACCTATCTTCTAGGCCTGTTAGTTTCGATTTGAGCAGTTTAACCTCAGTAGATAACACTTCACGATGGACAGTCAATGTGTTGTGGTGAGTTATTACTTCCACCGCCTCTGTCCTGTTCCCTATTTCTAGTATTTTGTTTTTGAGCTCCTCCTTTGAAGAATTCATATCATCCTTAATGTCAACTCAGGAGTTCCCTAATAGGAGTTTGCTCATTGGGTATGGGGTCCTGTCCTTGTTTAGGGGTCTGTTGTAGAGGCCCTGGAGTATGTACTTGCACTGTCTGACTTGGCTGCGTCAGCAATTTTGACCGTGGTTGTTTGTCTCGTGTGCATGTATTCAGGCGCTTACCCCCTGGAAATTGTTTTAGAGGAGAGCGCTTGGGCCATCACTCCTTCTGGTGGTGTTAGTTATTTGAGAGGTCAGTTACGGGAAAATAATGTTTCGCGATAGCAGCCTAGGATAGCGCTGGGGCTCCTTCATAGCAAGTCTGTTCTCATATGCAGCTAGCTCTGCCCCCCGCCCCAAGGCAATCACTTTTTATTATCTAACTGCTAGCGTTTGTATCCATATGCATCAAAATAAGGTTTGCACTTGTAATCCACCTCAACTACAGATTTACTTATTTTTTTTGTGTTTATACATTTAATTTCTGTGAATATCCTTAATATAGAAGAGATAATATTTTAACAGTCGAAGGAGAGTGCAATTAATTACTTTTATTTTTCTGCAACTGACACACCCAATACATTTTTAGATTCTTCAAGATCGTCTATGCTTTCTTGTTTACCATTCTATACGCTTGCCTATATATGAATACAGGTTCATTACAAGATAGCGTGTAATTATATACAGTTGCAATAAAAAGTATGTGAACCCTTTGGAATGATATGGATTTCTGCACAAATTGGTCATAAAATGCGATCTGATCATCAACTAAGTCACAACAATAGACAATCACAGTCTGCTTAAACTAATAACACACAGGGCCGTCTTTAACGCGGGGCAAACGGGGCAGCTGCCCCGGGCCCAGTTTCTCTTGGGGGGCCCGAGGCACTTGCCCCGTGGGCCCTGCTGCCCTCACCAATTTATTTTTTTTCCCCGTCCCACCGGGTGGCCCATGCACTTAGGGCAGTGGTGTACATACCAGGGTCGCGGCTGCGACCCTGGTATGCACCCACAGGGCCAGCGTCTTACCCTGGGGGGCCCAGGAGGCGGCCACCCCAGGGCCCCCCGAGGCTGGCCCTGCTGACCCCGGCGGTCGGGCACGCGAGGGAGCACTCAGTGCTTCCTCTTCAGCTCCCTCGCGCACCGCACTGATGCCGGCGCCGGAAGATGATGTAATCTTCCGGCGCCGGCATCCCTACGCGGCGCACGAGGGAGCTGAAGAGGAAGCAGTGAGTGCTCCCTCGCGCGCCCGCCTTCCTGCCCGACCGGCCACCCGCCCGCCGGGGTCAGCAGCACCACTGGACCCCAGGGAATCCCCCCAGCACTCCAAAAGGTAAGGAGGCTGGGGGGATTACATTTAAAAAAAAAATGTGTGTTTATGTGTTTGTGTGTTAGTGTGTGTTTGTGTGTTAGTGTATGTGTGTTAGTGTGTGTTTGTGTGTTAGTGTGTGTGTTTGTGTGTTAGTGTCTGTGTGTCAGTATATCTGTGTGTGTGTCAGTATGTCTGTGTGTGTTTTTGTCAGTATGTATGTCTGTGTGTGTGTCAGTATATCTGTGTGTGTGTTTCAGTATGTCTGTGTGTGTGTGTCAGTCTGTCTGTGCATGTCAGTATGCCTGTCTGTGTGTGTGTCAGTATGTCTGTGTGTGTGTGTCAGTATGTCTGTCTGTCTGTGTGTCAGTATAGATGTGTGTGTGTATATCTGTGTGTGTCAGTATGTGTGTGTCAGTATGTCTGTCAGTGCATGTGTATGCATGTGTCATTATATCTGTCTGTGTGCCAGGATGTCTGTGTGTGTCAGTATATCAGTCTGTGTGTGTCAGTGTATGTGCCTGTGTGTGTGTGTCAGTATTTCTCAGTGTATGTGGGTGTCAGTATATCTGTCAGTGTGTGGGTGTCAGTATTTCTGTCAGTGTATATGTGTCAGTATGTTGATCAGTGTATGTGTGTGTGTCAGTATGTCGGTATATGTGTCTGTGTGTCAGTATGTCTGTATATGTGCCTGTGTCAGTATGTCTGTCAGTACATCTACCAGTGTATGTGTCTTTGTGTGTGTCAATATATGTACCTGTGTCAGTGTGTCTGTCAGTATATGTGCCTGTTTATCTGTATGTAGTCAGTGTATGTATCTGTGTATCTGCTTGTGCGTCAGAGTGTGTACCTGTGCATCTGAGCCGCAACTTTAAATACAAATACACCCCTCCATTCAAACTTCAACACTACATATAAAACACACTCCTGCATTGAAGCGTCAACACTACATACAAGCACACTCCTACATTCAAAAACAAACACTACACATAAATGCACACTTGCATTCAAACTCCAGTACCACATACAAACACATTCACACAAACATACTCCATACAAACACATTCTTACATTCAAACATACTAACATGGCTCAGTGCTAAATACAACCCTGCAAGCATGGGAAATTGGTAGAGTCCCAGCTGTCAAAGCATTGTTGGAGTTGCACGACAGATGGGGTTCTACCTTTAGTCCAACCTTGCAATTGGGGTCCCAATAAAATTCATTCTACTTTAGTACCGCCACTGCGTTGGGATGGATGCCGTGATTGCATACCAGGGAGTGAGGGGCGAGAGCGGCAGGGCCCAGGGGGCCCAAGCAAACACTTGCCCAGGGTCCATTCGTTATTAAAGACGGCCCTGATAACACACAAAGAATGAAATGTTGCCATGTTTTTATTGAACACACCATGTAAACATTCATAGTGCAGGTGGAAAAAGTATGTGGGTTCACATACTTTTTCTTGCAGCTGTACAACAATAATCATTAGTGAATTGCACTTACAGTGGAATTTTTTTTTTTTTATCCCTATATTTAAAAAATATGTACTAAATATATAAAGTACTAAAACCCAATTAAATCAGCAGGTACATTCCATTGGAGACTCCACCTGCTTTGCATCATTAGAACAATTTTCAGAAGATGACACGTTTATACATATCTCCCAATGTTTCTATTTCTGCTCTTCATTTCCAAGGTATTATCTGGCTTTGCTTTGTCTAAACTGGATTATTATGTAACTTGCTAAATGTTTAATATACATCTAAAAGATACAGGTGGATCACATAAAAGGTTAACACAAGTAAATCTGTCATGACAGCTTCACTTTAACGTAAATCCGCCCTTTTTTCGCCTCCTGTATTGTTTTTCTGCAGGCGTCTTCTTTCGTCTTCTCGTCCAATCCAATTCTTTTTTTTTTTGCACTTTTTCAGTCAAATGCTTCTCATTGAGTAGCATTTAATCCAGTGCTTCCCTGTGATAAGCATCAGAAAATGTTCAAGGTCCTCATGCAAAGCGTCAGGACGAATGTCTGAACCTGTTGTAGGAGCGGAAGCAGGCCATTGGCTCTCAACAGGGTTATGGCGTAAAAATCTTATTCGTAGTACATGTGTGTCCTAGATTTTGACATGCTCTCAGTTTAATGGTTTAGGAAAAAAAGGGAGGCACACAGTCACTATTTTAAGTCATACTATATTAGAAATGCGTTGGTTATAAAATTCCATTGCTATACATACAGGTGCCAAAACAAGCATTAAAAAATAATGTTATGCAAAGTGTTAGCTATCTAGAAAATAGAGCATATTCTAAAGTTTTTTTGTTTGTTTTTAAGTAGAAAATATTATGACATTACAAATTAAATTGATATATACACACATAAAAAATAAAAAAATTAGTAACAAACTAGATTTTTTTTTAGTAATAAAATTAAACACTATTACAAAACACTAGCAAAAGAAAAATATTAATGTCTTCCTATTTCCTATTTTTCTTTCATGGTTATTGTACCCACTAACCCTTCCATTCATTATCTATTGAGAAACTGTATCTTGGCATATCAGGAAAAATGTTACAAAATATAGTCTTCAGTGCCAAGGTTTGGGGTGTCGGAGCGCATTAAGTGGTAGAGTTTCTTTGGGCCTGCCAACAATGGACAGTGTCGGGGTAAATGCCCTTTGTAAGGTGCTACGTACTCCAGAATGCCATCTCGGATAACACTGGATGGGACTCCGAACTTTTGCAACTGTTGAGTCGCTGTAAAGTGGCATTGATACTGGTGGCAACAGAATCTGCATTGGTTTCAATAAAATCATTTTGTCTTCGGCTCTTTGCCTTGTAAACATTATTTGATGATCTGCAACCTTTGGAGCAGTGAAGTAGCTTGTATTTTTCACTGCTGCTGGTGCAGTGGGAAACGATGCTTGCTTTGAGGTTTTCTTTAACTGGATGTTGCTGATGTTATGTTGGCTATTTTGAGAGACAAGTGGATCTTGTTTGGATATTGATTCTTTTGCAGATGTAGAACTATTTTCTCTCTTCAGGAACTCTGCAATATTTGTTTGTGTAATAGAAGTGGGCTTTGCGATGGCTTTGGATGCAGCCATTTTTGATCTCTTTTTCTTGTCCCCTCTTGCTGATGAGATTTCAATACCTTGAAGTAATCCCTTGGCAGCAGCTCGGGCCAATACATCTTTAGCTGAATCAACTGGATCTCTCTATAAAAGACAGACAGAAGCTGATAAGTCACCTTGGAAATCATTCATGAAACTGGCATCTTACATAGTGTGTTTTTGTGCTTTTTCAGTGAGTGTTCTTTGGGTGGTATGTATCTTTGCAATCAAACATTGTTATTTAGCAGGTAAATATAACTAAATAAAGCAACAAGGTGGGAAATCTTAATCCTAATTAGTAGCGGATACCAACTACTGGCAGTCAACAGATGGAGCTGAGGGCGGCTATGTATAGACAAGGGTCTAAATATTTTTGGATAAGATTTTCAAATCATTTAATGGTGACTTCTGTATATAAATTATTTTAAAAAGTGTATCCAAAAATATTAAATCATATGAAAGGTTTGCATAAAAGTGTTAAATCAAGGCCAAGTTTGGCAACGAGCACATAGCGTCTTATATTTCCATAAACTTGACTACCACCTCCCCCAACTTCATCCACTCTGTTTCCTACATCCCCCCTGTGTACCAAATCATCATGATCATTGCCTCCTCCAAAGATGAACTCCAGCTACTTTCAGATGTTATAATCCCACTCAGGGCTGCCATCAGACATTTTGGGGCCCCTTACACAACTGGGTCACTGGGCCTGCTACTGAGTCCACACACAGGGTCCATCCTCAGTCCACACACAAGGATGCAGTGTATGTGGAGTGTATGCAGTGTGTGTAATGGATATAGTGTGTATAGTGTATGCAGAGTGTGTGTTTGTATAGTGAATACAAAGTGTATGTTTGTGTAATGGATGCAGTGTGTGTGTGGTGGACACTGTGTGTGTATAGTGAATGCACAGTGTGTGTTTGTGTAGTTGATGTAGTGTGTCTAAAATTTATTTATTTATTTTTAATTGTTTGTTGTGTGAGGAAATATACAGACTACCTTGCAATGCCACAACAGTGAGAGCTAGAAAGGCATGATACATAACCAAACAGTTGCATGGCATTTGACAGTTCTGCACAGTTTTATGATATGGGAAAGTCAAGTTAGGCAAGCGTGTCGAAAACTCTGAATATACGCTACAGATAAGATACTTCAGACATGGAAAGAACTTTGAGTAATAAATGCTATTTAACATGCTAGACAAACAAAGTAGAATGAAGGCCACTGGAGCTGAACAGGCCGTTGGGATACTACAACACACAATGTGAAAATAAATGGGTGAAGAATGAGAAGTTGAAGGATAGTCATGAAAAACAAAATGGCTTCAATTTTATATTACGGAACTGCGGGTCGTAGGCGGCAGGTATTAAGCTAGATTCTGCTATCTCTTAAAGAGACCTATATAGGGCTCCAATTGCTACAGTGATTATGTATATTGACTGGAGGGTGTTGCTTAAAAATTTAAATCAATTGAAAATTAAGACCACAGGTCGAAAAATAGCAAATTAATAAAAAGACATTTGGGGCTTTTTTAAAAATGTATTTTAATTTAATTGTATTCCTTTTTACATGCCTCTTACATGTGTACAAAGGGGGGAGGGGGCAGGCATTACATTAACTGGTGGTTTGCTGACAGTTATTTTAAAATTTTATAAAAAATTATTTTTTATCATTATTTTGCTTTTAGAGTGACCTTGTTTTTATATAGTTGTTTGATTTTCAAGATTACATTTCTGGCTTCATGGTATGTTACCGACTATGCTGTGATTATAACAAGCTTACAATGCTTTCATGTCATGTTTATTTGACTTTTATTTTACGTTGATAAAGCTAGCATATATTTAACATAACAGTATTGTTCCAAAATTCTATTTACTTAAACTGGAAATAATATGGTGAAATGTAGCTACCACATGTATGTCATGTATACTGTGTGCAAATTAATATAAATGAAGCTCTCTACAAGACATTTTAAGTGGTACAATACTTTTTCATATTATTAATCACCCATAACTAAATAATGCAGAGTTGATGGGGGTTGTACTATTCTTCAATGACCCTGTAAGCAAAAATCTCTTGGAATCTTTGGTGGGGAATTTAAGACAAATAGTTGCCCTGGAGCTTTACACATATGATAGAACATCTGAATATGTATAGTAGGTTTGGAAACGCAATGCGTTTGCACATGGATGCACTATGAATTTTAATATCTATTCTATATTAAGGAAGAGAGTAGTAAAATATGATATATATTCAACATTACCATAAAATATGTTCCCACTTTGAATGTAAGGTTTAGTTCATCGAAGCAATTTTAAAGAAGGATTTTATGGAACTTGATAAAACGCATACGATTTTCCTTATGAATATTCACAAGAGACAAAAAAGGCAACTCTGTTCCAATGTTTGACTACATTATAGTCCAAAGGTTATTCGGCATGGAATGGGGATTAGTTCTGTAGTATGAGGCTGTGTATTCATGCAGTATTTACATTTTTGGTAAATTAATTCCATTAATCCAAGTTAATTGAACTTGTGTCTTCAGAGATAACATGCACATTTTTCACAACAAATATGTTATAAAACAAACCTACAAAGTTCAGAAAGAGAACTTAATCCCATTGCTATTCTGCAAATCTAGGCGCACACAATGAACACCTTTCTTTTAAAGGACCACTCCACACACATAAAGCACTTAAGCCTGCTGAAGTGCTTTTTGTGTAAGTAGTATCCTATTTTAACTGCACTTCAAAAAACATTGCATTACATTTAGAAAAACATTAAGAAGCAACTCCCTGGTTTTCAAATCAGAGCATCCACAGAACTCTGCGGTACCTAATCCTCCAGGGCTCTGTTTCATCCTTCTCTAAATGGTGATATTTTAAAAATGTATCTATTTACATTTTTGAAGTTGATTGTTCCTTTAAATTTTTCTCCAAACACAAGTGATTAATCTATTAAACTGGAGATTGCTCCTTGCAATCATTTCATCATAATTTGTCAGGACCTAGTGCGCACCAGCCTGTGGGTCGCATGGCGCAATTACAGAGTAACCGGCAGGAGAGGACGTGCACACCCCCTCCTGCCGGTCACAGAATGTAGCGTGGCCGAGCAGGCAGACCGCGGGGTAGAGGAGCTTCTGTTCCCCTACCCGGTCTGACAGGAAGTGCTCACAGAGGGAACAGAACTTATTCCTGTCAGACCGGGTACAGTGAGCAGGAGCTTCTCCACCACGGTCTGCCTGCTCAGCCACACTACAGCAAGTTACAGGGAGAGCTGGGTGAGACTAATGGGAAACATGGGGGCTGCAGGGGGGAAACTAATGGGACACCTGGAGGCTGGTGGGGGGCTATAGGGACACATGAAGGGCTCGGGTATAGGAATGCATGAAGAGCTGGGAGGGGTATAGAAATGTATGGAGGGCTGGGCGGGGCTATAGGTACCTATGGAGGGATTGAGGGAGATAAGGCACATCGAGGTCTGGGGGGGTAATGGATTGAGACGCAGAGGGCTGGGGGATGGATTGAGAAACATGGAGGGATGGGGGGCTAATGAGACACATGTAAGGCTGGAGGGGGTGGAATGAGACATGGAGGGCTGGGAGGGGAGCTATAGGGATTCATGGGGGGCTAATGAGACACATGGTGGGCTGAGGGAGCTAATGAGAAACATGGAGGTCTGGGGGGATGGATTGAGACACATGGATGTCTGTGGGGATGGATTTAGAAGCATGGAGGGGTGGCGGGGGTAATGAGACACATGGAGGGGCAGGGGAGTAAAAAGACACACAGAGAGGCTGGGGAGAAAAAAAAGACACAGAGGGATCTGGGGAGAAAGACACAGAGGGGCTGGGAAAGGGGAACAGGAGACACACAGAGGGGTTGGGGAAGGGGAGAATGAGACACACAGAAGAGCTGTGGCCTGGGAAAGAGACTAACAGAAAGGCTGGGGAAGGGGAGAAAGAAACAAAGGGGCTGAGGCTAAGAGACAAATGAAAGGGGCTTGGGGGGAGAAAGACACAAACAAAATGCATCTTCACTTGTGTCTCCTGCTCTCCCTGTAATTTAGAGTTGACCGGTGAGAGAAAGACTTCATATTAAATAGATACTATAAAAAAAAAAAAAAAACACGAGTCCTGCGCATCCAGTATAGGTGTGCACACCCAGGTGCTACCACAATTTATTTGAGGAAAAAGTTAAAACAGCAAACGTTTCGAGCAGCAGCCCTTTCTCAATGCTAATGTCCTACAGTATATGCAAGATAACAACAATATATAAAAAAAAATAGTGCTTACATAACTCAAAAGTGCCACCCCCCAGGTAATCAAATCTAGAAACAGGATTACCTGGGGGTGGCACTTTTGGGTTATGTAAGCGCTTTTTTCTGTATATATTGTTGTTATCTTGCATAAACTGAAGGACATTAGCATTGAGAAAGGGCTGCTGCTCGAAACGTTTGCTGTTTTAACTTTGTCCTCAAATAAATTGTGGTAGAATTAATGCAATGCATCTCTATGAGGAGATGCTGATTGGTGTGATGAAGCGCAGCGTTTTTCCACACATGCGCACTAGCCTCCCAATGCTTTTCTATGGGAATTGAATTGGCGTAGGCCGAGATCATCCAGTTGTCAGGCAAAGTGAAGAGCACACTCTTGTTACTTAAAAATAAGCAAGATAACGTCATTTTACTGCTGTGCAATAACATACATTCACAATTTCAGTTCAATTCCGAAACTTTCCTTAATATGTCAAGGTAGTTGAACTGAAACACTGATTCCTGGCTAATCATGGCAGCATCACTTATGGGTAGCTCCTCCCTTAGCAGTCACAGGACAGGAATTAATTAGATTAATTAATCAGACTGATAGGTATAAGGAGTCCCTCCTCCCCCTACACCTCAGTCTTTTTTCCTGTCCTTAGCAAGTTCTACAGGACTTTTTACATTTTGTTTTATGGCCACCTTCCTGCGTTTGTCGTGGGTTCGTACCAAATGAAGTTCAGCCTCTCTTCATTTGAAGGACCCAGTAAACAGCCTGCATGAGCAGGACTAACTGGGTCAGGTTCAGTGTAAGTATTGAACTGCAGCGTGGGAAGTAAGTGTTTGAGGGAGACACTGTTTCTGTTTATTTGTGGGGTTGGTTAGCCTTAAAAATTCCCCCTGTTTTCAGCCTGCCCCTACTAATTGGGGTTATATATCCCCCCCCATACCTTGTTGGCAGTATTTGAATCCATGCTTAGGGGTCTTGTCCTTTAGGATCTGTTTCTTGCCTCTTGTTTGGTGCCTTCCCTGCTCCCTGGCTCTGTTCCAGCCTCTGATGGGTTAATGTGAGGCTGTGCAGGCTTCCCTGCTCCCTGGGGCTCCCTGTGTGCCCGGGCATTGGGGGCTGGAACGCATTATGCGTTCCAGCCGACTGTTTGTTGCTCGCAGCCGGTTCCGGCGAAACCGGAAGTAATTTGCATGCCGGTCGCGAGCGTTTGGAACGCATAGCGTGCGTTCCAGCGCTCTGCGCATGCGCGAACCGGGCAATCAGCTGTTCGCTGCCCGGACCTTTTTTAAAGCATCTAATACAGCTACCTTGGCGCTATATGTGCTAGCCTTATGTTGGTTTACCCCTGGGAAAGCATTGGTGTCCAGTTTGTGCCCAGCTACTCCTATCTGCTGCCTGGCTGCATAGTGGATGTTCTGCTCTTTAAGGTAGGATTGCTGTTTTTACTACTTATTGGAAGTATTGCTTTGTCAGTTTGTCTATTTATCCCTTTGGGGAATTAGGTCTTGGATTTTCCTTTGGTTCTTCTTTATAGTATGGATTCTCCCTCTGCCTCTGCAAGATCCCTCTCTAGAAAACATAGGTGAGCCATTTCTTAATTTTATTGGGGGGGGGTGTTGTTAAAAGAGTGCCATACTGAGCCTGTAATATATGTCATATATGGCTTCATTCCAGCCCCAGCATTCATTTGGATTCTCCAGCGAGAAAATCACGGGAAAAGTCAAATAAATGCATTAATTGTTCTTCGCCTGCTCCGAATAGAAGGAACCTTTGCAAGGAATGCTTGTTGGAAGTCGCTGATGCCCCCAGTAGGAGCTCTCCACAAGACGACCTTAAGCTCTGGATTTCTCAGGCTATTTGCTGAGGGCTTTATGGCTACCACGGGATCTAGTGGTCCAAGTAAGAGACGCAGAGCGGAACCTCAGTCTTCCAGCTCTGATGAGGACCCTGATGTCTGGGAGGTATCAGATGAAGGTGAGGAGGAAGCTGAATATGCCTCCACGTCTCTTGACTCCAGGTCTATGGATAGACTTATTACCCTTCTCAGAGACACGCTTAGTCTCACTGAAGAAAGATCTGAATTGAAGGAGGCTGACAGGTTTTTTGAGGACCTATAGCCTAACAGACCTACTTTCCCGGTGCATGCGCCAATCAGGGATATGATCCTTCAGGAATGGAATAAGCCTGAAAAGAAGTCCACCTTAAAAAATAAGTTTGCGAGGGTTTATCCGTACTCTACAGTGGATTGCTGCCTGTGGAACTCAGTTCCTAAAATTGACGCTGCAGTGATCCATATGGCTAAGAAAACTACACTGCCTATTGACTCCATGGCATATCTCAGGGAGCCTATGGAGAAGCGTATGGATGGAGACCTGATTAAAGACTACTTGGCCCTAGGGTCCACCCTTCATCCGGCAGTGGCACTGACGACTCTCTCCAGAGCCTTGAAAGTGTGGCTCGCTAATCTGAAGGACGACATTGATCAGGGTGTCCGTAGGGAACATCTGTTGGAAAGCTTCAAGGACTTTAGTCTAGCCACGGAATTCTGTTCAGAGGCCTCCCTGGACATCACTCGCATGATTGCCAAAAGCATGGCCCTGTCTGTGGCTTCTAGAAGGGCCTTGTGGCTTCATTCGTGGGGTGCTGACTATGCTTCTAAGGCTTCCCTGTGTGCACTTCCGTTCCGAGGGGATCTCCTTTTTGGGAAGATTCTGGAAGATGCTATTCAAAAAGCTGCTGATGGGGAAAAAGGCGTTTACCTCAAGCTGGCAGGAAGAGTTTTTCCCTCCTCCTGGAAGACCAAGCGCTTCAAGGATCGGTCCTTTCGGGACAGCAGGAGCTATAAACCAGGAAGGGAGTTTTCCAGGAATTCTTCATGGAAATCCTATTCGCACTCATCTTCCAGTAAGGCTTCCCGAGGAAGGGGTGCTAGAACCTCAGGGAAGACCTTCTGAAGGTCCCCAGGCCGAAGTTCTTCTACCCCATATGGGCCAGCAATATTTCAGACCTATGGGTCACTTCCATCGTAAAAGAAGGTTACAGAATAGAATTCTCATCTTACCCGAAAACTGCATTCTTCAGAAGATCAAAGGTGCCGGTAGGCATCAAACGAAGGGCCATGAGGTCCTGCATTTCTGTACTCCTGGAACAAAAAGTGGTGAAGAAGTTCCAAAACAGGAATGGTTCCAGGGAATTTACTCCACGGTCTTCTTGGCCCCAAAACCACAGGGAAAGTGGCGTCTCATCTTGAATTTGATAGGCGTGAACTCCTTGCTCGACGTAGGACGTTCAAAATGGAATCCTCGAGGACCATCTTGAAGTGTGTCAAAAAAGGAGACTGGATGACCTCAATAGACTTAAGGGACGCCTACTATCAATCTTGGGTCCATCTCAAGGAATTGTAGCTCAACATACGTCGGTGGCAATGTCCATTCTTCAAGACCATGGTTGGCTCCTGAACGTGGGAAAGAGCTCCCTCGTTCCTGCACAAACTATCGTTTTCCTGGGTACGGTAGTGAATACCGTGTCTGCACATGTGTTCCTGTCTCCAGAAAGGGTCACGAAGATCAGAGACAAAGTAAGGAAGCTGCAAGTTCTCGAAACTGCACCTGCAAGAGAAGTCATGAGTCTCCTGGGTTCCTTGACTTCAACAATAGGCTTGGTGAAGTGGGCCCAGTGGAAGTTCCGTCCGGCCCAGAACTGCTTCCTTCTCCAGTTCAACAGAGTGGAAGCGGATTGGGAACAGATGATATCTCTTCCCCTTCCCGTAAGGAAAGGCTTAAACTGGTGGAAGAGCGAGAGGAATTTGACAACAGGCTTCCCGTTGGAAGTCCCCCTTGGAAGGTTATTACAACAGATGCCAGTTCTTTTGGATGGGGTGCCCACTTCAGTCCTGTATGGACTCAAGGGAACTGGACCCGAGAAGAGAGTCGCCTACACTCAAACTTAAGGGAACTGAGAGCGGTTTACAAGGCCATTTTGAGATTCCTGCCGAGGCTACGGAATTCTTGGGTTCTAATCAAAACAGACAACCGAGCGGTGGCCTCATATGTGAAAGGGGGCACAAGGAGCAGGTTGCTCCTGGAAGAGCTGGCTCCCTTAATGGCTATAGCCATGACCTATCTTCAAGGCCTGAAGGCGATTTATCTCCCAGGTTCGGAGAACGTAACAGCAGACTTCTTCAGCAGAAAGGAAATTCTTCCGAGAGAATGGCAACTTCATCCGGCGATCTTTGCAGAAATTGCTCATCGGTGGGGCATGCCCCAGATCGACCTGATGGCATCATCTCAGAATCACCTGGTGGAGAATTACTTCTCTCTCCATCCGGACTGTCAGGCACTGGGCCAGTATGCTCTCTCTCTGCCTTGGTCGTTCGATCTGGGGTATGTTTTCCCTCCCCTACCCATGATACCCAGGTTCCTGCGGAAGGTTTGGTTGGAAGGCAAGAAAGTCATTGCCGTAATTCCTATTTGGCCTCGGAGGCCGTGGTTTCCCCTATTGGCCATGATGAGCCAGGAACAACCTTGGCCTCTTCCAGTGATGGAGGATCTGCTATCGCAAGGCCCTGTATTCCATCCTCATCCGGAATGCCTCAAAATGGGGGTATGGGTCTTGAGAAAGAAAGACTCCAATTACTAGGTCTCGCGGAGGCGGTGATCATTACCCTTCTGCTCTCCAGATAGGCTTCTACTTCTTCATGCTAGCATAGGATCTGGGATGTGTTCCAAACTTGGGCATCGTCTCATAATGTGGACTTTCGGCATCCTAGCAATACTGAAGTTTGGAGTTTCTGCAAGAGGGCCTGGACAAGGGCCTTAGCCTCAGCACCTTGAAGGTTCAGTCTTCGGCACTTTCAGCTTTGTGCAACATCTCATGGGCTTCGGATCCTTTGATTTCCAGGTTCTTCAAAGCGGCCTTCAGGTTGAGGCCTCCTTCCAGATCTACTACCCCTCCTTGGGACCTTCCTATGGTGCTCAATTATCTCACTGAGGATCTGTTTGTTCCTCTTGAAAGTTTGGATGCTACTCTCCTGACGTATAAAACTTTTACTTCCGCAAGAAGGATTTCAGAAATTAAGGCATTTTCTACATCTTCTTCTTGTTTACGATTCTACCGAGATAGGGTTTGTCTGAAACCAAAACCAGAGTTTCTTCCTAAGGTAGTTTCTCAGTTTCACCTCTCTCAAGAAGTGGTTCTTCCATCATTTTACCCCAACCCCTCTTCTCAGGAGGAGGTTAGATGGCAACGTTTGGATGTCATGAACTGCTTGTCTGCATATCTTAAACGTTCTGAGTCTTTAAGTAAAACAGACCAACTCTTCGTTTTGCCGTTGGGAGCAAGGAGAGGTGAGGAGGCTTCTTTATCTACGTTGAAACGTTGGATTTCTCTGATAATTAAGAAGGCGTATATCTCTAAAGGTATATCACCACCTCGGGAGATAATGCTCTAGTAGAATGAGTTCTTATCAACTTCATGGGCTAGCTGTGCAGAGGTTCCATACGATGATATTTGCAGAGCAGCCACCTGGTCTTCTCCGATGACATTCATGAAGCACTACAAACTTGATGTGCAGTCTCCTTCCACCTCCTTTGGACAGAGTGTCCTGTCTACGGTCTCTTTATCCCGTTGATATTAAACTTTTCTTTGCTGCATGTGTTTCAGTTTTGTGTAATTTCTTGGATTATTATTCCCACCCTATTTTTCTGTGAAGCTTGGGTATTACCCATAAGTGATGCTGCCATGATTAGCCAGGAATAGAGAAAATTTATGACAAACTTACCGTAATTTTCTTTTCCTGGCTATTTCTCATGGCAGCATCAGGGTTCCCGCCCATTCTTTATTTCAGCTTTATAATTGGACTGAGGTGTAGGGGAGGAGGGACTCCTTATACCTATCAGTCTGATTAATTAATCTAATTAATTCCTGTCCTGTGACTGCTAAGGGAGGAGCTACCCATAAGTGATGCTGCCATGAGAAATAGCCAGGAAAAGAAAATTACGGTAAGTTTGTCATAAATTTTCTCTATTATAGCAAACGCACGTCTGCTTACAACAAATCCGCTCTTTTGTTTATTTTGAAGCCCTATGAGTGCTTTCTTTCACGTTTGAGTGATCGTTTTCAGTTTTAAGTATTTTTTTCCCGTTTTCAAATCTGCACGTTATGCTGGCGCAATGCATTATGGGGCTGGTATAGCATTTTTTTCCATGGCTGCTTTACATTCTCAGTCCGGCCCTGCCCTTTGGGCATTTCTCCCTTATCTTTTTAGATTGCAAGCTTGTTTGGGCAAGGCCATCTTAACCAACTGTTTCAGTATGGATTCTTTATATATTGTGTGTTTGTACTGTTTACGTATCATACAGTGCTGTGGAATATGTTGGCGCTTTATAAATAATTTTAATCATAAATTCATTTGATAGCAAATATTAAAGATTATAACAACCAGCAAGCATGAGCCTTCACATTTAAAAATCAGGGTTTTACTGACTAGTGATTTAAAATATGATTTAAATTGCCTTGATTTAAATCAAATCCACTCTGTGTTCCCCATATCACTGAAGCACTTTTTGGTGTTTGTATTAAAGCAAAGCGTATTGGTTAGAATTAACTGGTCTCCTATAAATCAGACAGCAGACCAGTCTATAATAAGTGTCAGATTTATGGCTCACTAATTAGATAACCAGTAAGAATGAATTTTAGATTCAGATTAGGAGCCACTCATTTCTGTGATCACAGACAGAAATACATAAATAATGGACTTTTGGGTTTAAACATTTTATTGTTTGTTTTGTAGCAGTCAATATTTGCATTTTTCACTCCTGCTTTATGTTCTGTGTTACAAATTCCAAACATTAATATTGACCCGTTGAGCTAGGTTATTCATATGGAAACAGACCTTGCAACTTCAAGGCTTTGATAATAGAAAGCAAGGGATGTAGAACAGATTAACTCAGCTTTTCAAGAGCAGCCTTGAAACACAAATACAAAATTGTAGATAACTAATAAGTGGTATTTTACATAGCTGTGAAGGTTAAAACAGTCACATGCTGAATGTGTAAATATACATTAGTTTAGCAAGGTGTAGTCGAATGGTTTCCAGTAGGTATACTGTGAACATGGTACAAGTAGTGGTATTCTGACAATTATGCTCTTTAGCATGGTAAAATAGAGTGCTATTTTGGTAAATATACTGTTCAGCATCCCTAACTCTACCCCCAAATCCCGTATCAATATGCCTTACACTATGTCTAGCTTGAGATCAAGCACCAAAAATAAGCCAAACCCTAACCCTACCCATCTCACATTGTCAGAGGTATTCCCACAGCTGTCACTGAGTGATTTCCCAGGTGTACATACTACAGAATGCTCTGTGAGCACTGTGCACTATATGATTGTAACATTAAAGGGTATATTGTCTGACAGGCTGTCAAAATGTGATTTACTGATCTCTCATGGTCTGATCGAACAACATGATTAGTACAGCCGGTCAACACAGCCCAGTACCACCTACCTTCCCTAATGAGTGATCAGGACGAGGGGAGTCATCTAAGAAGACCCATAAGGGTTTCCCTCACATCGAAGGAATACCCAGTCCACAGGTGAATGTGAAAGGACTATATGCACATGTTGACTGTTGTGCACAGACAAGCTGCTGGCATGGAGCCTTTAATTTTTACCATAGCTGAGATAGGTGAGCCCCAGGTATTGAACAATACTGGCATTTCCCCAGTACCAGAAGTGAAGAAGCCCCTGCTGGTGCAAAAACTAAATTAAATAATTATTTAATCATGAGACTTTTATGCTGAGGAGGCCATGACGTAATAATTGTATCTTTGAGATGTAGAGGTGTTAAGTAGAGTTGAGCGAACCCGGACTGTAAAGTTCGGGTTCGTACCGAAAATTAAGTTGTTTGGTCCCCGGACCCAAACACGGACATATCACTGTATGTTCGGGTTGGAGTTCGGTGTTCGGCGATTTAATGACGCGTTTTGAAAGGCTGCAGGGCAGTCAATCAACAAGCGTTTGACTCGTGTGCCCTTAGAAGCCATCACAGCCATACCTACTAATGGCGTGGCTGTGATTGGCCAGTGCAGCATGTGACCCAGCCTCTATATAAGCTGGTTACTTAGTATTGTTAAATGATGCCCCTACTCGCTATACCGCAAGTAGGGGCATGTCTATTAAACAGTGAGCAGCCTGTGGCTGCTCGCTGTTAAAAAAAACAAAAACATTCCCCCCTCCCGAGCCCCCACCCACGACACGCGAGTGGGGCTTTTAAACTAAAGGGGGGACCTATTGCCCCCCCTGCCCACACCCCTGAGAGGTGGGTGGGCGCCCTAAATACCAATAATTGGGGGGGAACCTATTGTCCCACCCCTGAGCGGGGGGTGGGGCCCTAAATATCAATAAGGGGGGGACCTACTGTGCTCCCCCTGGCCCCCACCCCAGCACGGCGGGTGGGGGCCCTAAATAACAATAAGGGAGGGGGACCTACTGTCCCCCCCCCGGCTCCCACCCCTGAGCGGTGGGTGGGGGCCATAAATAAAAATTGGGAGGGACCTAACGTCCTCCCCCTTGGCCTCCATCTCTGAGCGGTGGGTGGGGGCCATAAATAATAATTTGGGGGGGGACCTACTGTTCTCCCCCCCAGGCCCCCACCCCCGAGCGGTGGGTGGGGGCCATAAATAAAAATTGGGGGGGTGGAGACCTAATGTCCTCCCCCCGGCCCCCACCCCTGAGCGGCGGTTGGGGGCCCTAAATAAAAATGTACCCCCCCAGGTGACTAGGGGTCCCCAAACCCCTAGTCACCCCCCTCTCTCAAAAAAAATTACCCCTACCTACCCCCCTCATCCTAATCTTATCCTTATCTAAATACCTTTAAAAAAAAAAAATAGACTTACCATTTGATGTCTTCTTTCTTCTAAACTCTTCTTTTTTCAGCCCCAAAAAAGGCCAAATAAAAATCCATAATATCCGACGCACTTTAAAATAAATTTTTTTTTTTTTTAAAATGAGCACCAAAAAAATAAATCTATTTTCACCCATGGAGGGTTCCGCGCAGACTGATCTATGCAGGGCGGGAGAAGGCTTATAAAGCCTTGCCCTGCCCTGCAATTAGGCTCAGAGCACTCTGATTGGTGGGTTTAAGCCATCCAATCAGAATGCTATAACAGGTAAATGAAGAGACTGACAGGTAAGTCTCTACATTTACCTGACAGCACTCTGATTGGTTGGCTTGAAATCCACCAATCAGAGTCATTTTACATAGCGTGGGAAAATTCCAAATGACTTTCCCACGCTGTGTAAAATGACACAGAGCACTATGATTGGTTAGCTAGAAATCCATCCAATCAGAGTGCTCTGTGTCATTTTACACAGCGTGGGAAAGTTCTTTGGAATTTCCCCATGCTGTGTAAAATGACACAGAGCACTCTGATTGGTGGATTTCAAGCCAACCAATCAGAGTGCTGTGACAGGTAAATGTAGAGACTTACCTAGGTAGGGCTAATTTATATGGGGGGGACCCCTAGTCACCTGGGGGGGGTACATTTTTATTTAGGGCCCCCACCCCACCCCTCAGGGGTGAGGGCCGGGGGGAGGACAGTAGGTCCCCCCCTATTGTTATTTAGGGTCCCTACCCGCCACGCAGGGGTGGGGGCCGGGGGAGGACAGTAGGTCTCCCCCCAAATTCTTATTTATGGCCCAAACCCACCGCTCAGGGGTGGTGGCCGGGGAAGGAGGACAGTAGGTCCCCCCCCTTATTGTTATTTAGGGCCCCCACCCGCCGCTCAGGGGTGGGGGCCGGGGGAGAGGACAGTAGGTCCCCCCTTGTTGTTATTTAGGGTCCCCACCCGCCGCTCAGGCATGGAGGCCGGGGGGGGAGGACAGTAGGTCCCCCCCTCCACATTCTTATTTAGGGCCCCCACCCGTCACACAGGGGTGGGGGCAATAGTTTTTTTTTGTTTTGTTTTTACTAGACACGCCCCTACTCGCGGTATAGCGAGTAGGGGCTGATTTTACTAATACTAAGTAATCTTTACTTGGTATTACTAAATGTGGCTGAAAGACCAATTTAGGTATTTCAGCCTTTTGGTAGAAAGCTCCCTAATACCGTGGGAATTAGGGGGTTAGCTACTAAGCGGCTGCTTATGTTCTGTATTTTATGTTATTTTAAGTGATTTCCCTATCCACATTTGTTTGCAGGGCACTTGTCCTACTCTTACCCCCATTTTACTTCCTCTTGCAGCCCTCTAGAGCCCCTTTTTAGAGCCATATTTGTGCCCAAAAGTTCGGGTCCCCATTGACTTCAATGGGGTTCAGGTTCGGGGTCAAGTTCGATCCCGAACCCGGACTTTTTTTCAAAGTTCGGCTGAACCCGCCAGACCTGAACATCCAGGTGTCCGCTCAACTCTAGTGTTAAGGTCTTCACAAAGTTTGTGTGAGCTGTAATTTTTCTGTATTTGGGAAATAAAAGTACCTTAAAGGGACACTGTATGCACCTAGACCATTCCATCTCATTGAAGTGGTCTGGGTGTAGTGCCTCTGTCCTCTTAACTGTGCAATGTCTAACATTCAGACAAACTACAATATTTTCATTCTAGGGTTAAGACAATATACTGCATTCTATCTGAGTTTAACTCTGTGAAATGATGTTGGATGTCCTCAAATTCCCCACAGGAAATGAATTGATTGAATGCTTTCCCATGGGGAATGTCTAATACACATGGCGCTTGCTGAGCATGTGTGTTAGGTTCCTCCATCATCGTAAAGTTGTGGAAAACAGGCAAATGAAAGATAGGGGTGGAGATAGAGGGACGCTATAGCATAAGTGTACCTTTAACCTAGTTTATAAAATCATTTAATGCCCATGAATATATTCTATTAACGTAAAAATACCCCCCAAAACATTGACAGAAACAAATCCAACATAGCTTGACAATATCTTATTACAATACCACCTAAACAGTGACAGTTTGTTAGCAAATACATTTAGTATAGCACTGAGAATATCTCAGAGCGGACATGGCTGCTGCCACGTGCCAACCTTATGAGCCAATCAGTTTATTTGTATGGTGGGAGGCTTGTTAGAGAGTTAGTCGGTAATGTCTATACATTGACTATAAACATGAGGCTTTCCCATTCTGTACAAGAATTGAGAGGTAACTGTTGGCACTGGATAGGTCTGCGTGATTCCAATTGAAAAATGGCACTTCTTTCCAAACGGTTTCTATATTACAAAGTATCTTTATGTATTACAACAGTATAATAACAGAGCTCCACTAGCCATTGGCAAGTGAAAATTCAGCCCTGGCAATTAGAAATTCAGTCCTGCCCTACCTGCTTGAAGTGGTGAGTACCTTTTCAGCCTCGCTATTATTGTATTGAGTCCTGATAATACGTTTCATTCTTATTACTCCAAGTGTGAAACAATATTCCTAAATGCTCAACTACTAATGTGTAAATTGTTATGCTTCAAGATATATTGCTTTATTTAAGTTAACTACAAAAAAGAAATACAATTTACTATTTTACCTCTCTGGTTAGAATAGCAAGAAAACACCCATTTGTAGTCTCTGAAGGCTGAATCCTAAAAAAATGATCAGCGGCAGGTAAGGGTTCTGATGTTGTGGAGAAGGGAATGATGGAACTCCCAAGCCTGTAGTAAAATAAATAATTAGGGTTTACTTAAAATTCATATTTTCATCAGATATAGAGAATATTCTAATTTTAAATGTAACATTTGGTTGTTCAGTGAAATCTAAATAGTTTAACCCCTTAAGGACACGTCATGATTCCCTTTTATTCCAGACGTTTGGTCCTTAAGGGGTTAAGTGATAATATTTTAAACATACATTATATGTTTAGTCACATCACCCCAATATGATTCTAGTCAGAACAACGGGCAATTAAAACCAAACTAGAAAAATATTTACTTCCTTGTGTTAAAAAAAAAAAAAAAGAACATTGAACCCCTATGTCCACATGGTGGTAAAGTGTCTAATCCATGGACATAGAGTGAGCATTTTTTTGCAGATTTCACTATCTGTCTCTGGTCTCGTGTTGTAAAAAGCCTTTTAGATGGACATGTCTGGCAAAATGACATCACTTTCCCCAATGACTGCTATCCCAAAGCCTTGTAGCCAATCAGTTTGTTCTCAGATAAGGCAAAAATGAAACTTCTGTATCTTCCTGCAAAACATACCCAGCTTGGATAGCTTTGAACAAATAATGCAATAATAATGTTAACACTATTTGGGCTGCAGAAGATAAAATAGGTCTTGGTTGCGGAGAGAATCTTTTCAACGTCAACATTTGCAACTGTGTGCACAGGTATCTTCCCATACTCTTACCTATATGATCGACCTTTAATATTTCCAAAGTTTAACTCCAAGGCTTGATTTATTACATGTTCATTTTCTTCTTCATAAACCGAGAGAGTAAAGTACATAATTGCTTGCACTTTACTAACTAAAGTAAAAATGGAAGACAAAGAAACAAAAAGTTACTATAAATCATCACTTTACGTCTAGGCTATCTTGTCCCTTGTAGCCATTTTTCAAACTTCAAGTACATCAGATAATGCGGAACTAGAAAACCTACTGGAAATATTATCAGTTCTCTGGGTCAATGGAACTCCGGTCCTTAACCAGCTGTGGAGTCACATATTTTAAAGGGATTCTATAGTGTAAGGAATATAAATCTGTATTCTTACACTATACACTATATTCTTACACCCTGGTGTAACTGCCATGGCCAGATTTTAAATTTACTGCATATGTGCCATTTCCAAAAATATAACGTTCTTCCCGATTTGGATATAAAAAGGTGGTTTACCATTTACACTTACATTTCATTGCATGGTTTAGCTGAAGAAGTTGCTGATTTGCAAGGTGATTGAGTTTGTCAGTGGGCACAGATCCTTGAGAGAAATTCTGGAGCAATGTGGTGTCTACACATAAAATAATCATTCACTTTTTATCAATGAAATAATGAAACATAAAGAACGTTGGTAATGTACAGTATAGACAGACATGCATGATCATTAAACAATTCATATTACCATAATATTTCACTTTAAAACATTGATAATTATTGGAAACAAGGGGTGTGTACATACTGCATAAACATGAGATAAAGGCATTTCGATTCAGATTGCTGTCCAGGGATACCTACAACATTTTAACACAAGAGGGAAAATCACATTCTTCAGGATGGGATTTGGTAGAAAGCAGAGCTGATTTGGATGGATTTAGGGGACAATGGAATGAGGAAGAAAGTTGATTTGAATGTGTTTGTGAGAGAGCAGGTTAGAATGGAATTCTTTAGCAACAGGGAACCACAGATTTATAAGTCTTTTGGTAAATAAGAGATCTGGTTTATAATGGGGGGTGGGGGGGAAGGAGCACCTTTAAAATAGGTACTTAGTTAAGGTGAGAGAAGATGATCTGCCTGCAGGATTTGAACAAGGGGAGTTAATTCAGAAACCTTTCTAAACAACTGGCAGCTTTATGTTTAGGTATATTATATATATTATTCTATTTGACCTAAATGCACAAAATGTATGTTAGTTAAGCTTGGTTACAATAGATGGGACAGGTAGACAGACAGATTGTGTGTGTATATATGCTTCCTTTTAATTCAATATATGGTTGGTTATAGATTGACTGGTTTACATTTTGCCTTCATACTGAGCAATGACAATGTGATCTTCTGGCACAGATATTACGAGAATAGCAAGAACCCCTGTATGTGTCAGATATGCTTCCGAATTGCAAGAGCATCGATTTAACAACGACACAGTAATGCCAAAGCTTTATTTCAAACATCGCTTCATAAAAAGACCTGCCTTTTATAACACTGCTTTCTGAGCACAGAAATTGTATTACCTCCTTACAGTTCTCAAGGAATTTCCTACAAGAAAACATTTATGGTTTTATTCACTAAAGAGGGAACGGCAAATCTTAGTCCAAAATAGCTGAACTGGAGCATATATATATATGCAACTCCGTTATTATTCTAGCATAGATAGATTATAAAATATGGTCACATGAGATATTAGGCTGTTCAGTTCTGCGATACATGGCAGGTTAAATTAATGTAAATTTAATGGAAGAGGGAATTATTATTGAATTTTTCTTGGAGTCCATTGTGTAAATTGCAGATAAACTGCCCTTTGTTATTTAGCCAGCCCATATGACAAAATATGCTTGTTTTGATTATTAATTTTATTCATTTTAATAGTTTTGTTGTTACTGTTTTCTAAATTCAGTGCATTCCTTTGATTTTCTGTCTGTAACAAATACAATGAAATCAAAATCATACAGCTTAGAAAACGTACTAAATACCCCATCACACCACAGCAGTTGGTGAAAATACAGCACCTGGGAGTGTTTTTAATGCTAAAATAGCAAATGAAGAAATTATTTTATTTCTGAAAATAATATAGGAATAATAAAAAAATGTAAAAAATTAAAAAACATGGAAACCTTACCTCCTTGTTCATTTAGAATGAAATCAACTGGATCACTCACACCAGATCCAGAGCACTGAGGCTGCAGCAAAATAATTTTTGCTTTTTGCAGTCTTTGATCGGACGGTTCAATCTCTGTGAACATCTCATGAAGCAGTTTAATATCTGAGAAATCAAATTGGCTTAAGGTTAGTAAGTGGCAAATTGATAAACATATTCCCCAATATTTAAAAAGAAAGCTCACTTACAAATAATCTTTCGAGTACACTAGTTCCGTGATTTAAAGGGAAATCATACCAAAAAAAAAGAAAAAGAAATTAAAGCACCCATCAATTAGATCGACTTTTCCTAACTCACTCTAAAACAATATTTACTACAGATTTATTTTATTTTCATCTCAGTCAGCTATTCTAAGTCAAGCCTTAATTACCACTTGATTTGACAGTTGATTAGTGCAGAGGTGGACATCTTGCTATCGCATCAGCATTTTTAAGCTATAAGTGACAGTAACTGATAAAAAAAAAATACAAAATAAAAAATAGGCAGTAAAAAGCACATCATCCAATTAAACTTACAATTACATACAATAAAGGTGCTTACCATATAGACCACAAATTATCATATTACAAATGGTATAGCCAGAGCTCAAAATTTCCACTTGCCACCAGCAATTGTAGAGTAAAAGGTTAGCCATGGCCAATAAGGACCGGCAGAACCACCTTGCGAACTACACAGCCAACTATGGTGCACATGTCCTGAGGGCGCAGTGTCCTGGTGACCAGCAGGAGGGAAGCACATGGCACAGCTCTCCTCTCCGACCAATCACTGAATGTTGCGTGACTGAGCCACGACTCACGTTAGAGGAGCTTCTGTTTCGCCTACCCAGTCTTATAGGAAGTGCTCACAGGGAGCGCTGAACTGCTTCCTGTCAGACCAGTTACTGGTTAGAAGATATAGAAGATACACCACCATGGGCCCCGGCTCGGCCACGCTACAAAAGGTAGGTGAGCTGGCACGGGGGTGGGATAAAAAAGAATACACAAAGGGACAGGAGAGGGGTAAGAGACCATAAAGAGAAGGAGGGGAGACAAAGATACACACAGTAGGGCTGAGGGGGGAGAAAGAGACACACAATGGGGTTTGGGGGGAGAAAGAGACATTCAGAGGGACTGGGGGGACAAAGATACACACAAACAGGCTAGGGGAATAAGAGACACAAAGTTGGTAATTTTTGTTTTGGGTGGGTGTAAGTAGTTCGTCTTGCCTAGGGTGCAAAATAGTCTTGTGGCTAGTAGAAAGTCATGCTTGGTTAGTATGACATGAATTCTACAGGCTTGCATTGACGAGTTCCTTTCAATGCCTGATAAGATATTCACATTCTAGATATAGTAAGTGTAAGAAATGTTGTGCCGTTATACATTACATTTTCTATTTAATATATGGACATATGCTTTCTGACGGTCTGCTGAGTAATAGGCTAAGATAAGCGATCTTGTTTTACAATGGAATTCCATTTACATATCAAAGGAGGTTGCCATCATCAAAAGGTACAGTATAAATTACTTCTTTAGATGGAACAAGCCTTTCCAGTGTTTATTTACTAAATGTCTGTACATCTTTACTATAAAAGGTTTCAAGAGTCATGTTATCAGGAGATAAGAGTGTCAGTGTAATTAACATCTAGGTGTAACCATGGAAGTATATGTTCTAGTGCAGCTGGGGGGGAAGGGTAGAGAGATCAAAAGGACTTGACAGCCAAGATGGCGGTCGAGCTTTCTGAGAGTTCCTGTACTCAGAGTAAACACGTTAATACGGACCAAGACAATAGCCTCAGCAGCTCCAGGGGCTCGGAAACCGATGCAGAATCAAACGGGGAACAGGGGGATACCTTTCCTGACCTAGTACACCAAGCGACCACAGCAACCGGCCATGCGGCCTACTCCGGAGCGGGGCCTGGAGCCTGGGGGAGGTGGCCGATCCCCCCCCCCGGCAAGGGTCATGCTCACATACGAGAGCCCACTATAGCCCTGCTGCCCCCCCTGGACCAGTGGGGGTTATCCCGGTCCTCGCTGGGGATGATTACCCCCACAACTCAGCCTGTAACCCAACGGACCCGAGATGCCCCTGAAACTGCCGCCGCAGTAGCATTCACGCAACTCAGGGTGAGCACAGGGAATTCAAATGACTACCACTCAGAACACACTAATTATGCCACAAGGTTGGCGTGATTTTCCAGGCATTTTGGAACTAACTCGAGCGGTGCATGCAGCAGCGTGCCACACTTAAACATGGCACCCGCTCATTAACACACCCACGTGGAGCACATAAAATGGCCGCTACAAGAAGACCTCAGCACCCAAAGGGCTTGCGACACCGCCCAACCCCACACATTAAACTGCGGGCTTGTGCAACCGACCGGAGCAGCAGACCTCCCTCTGGACAGGGAACTCGACTGGACCGAGCGCATACCCAATCTATAGTCCAGTGCCAACGCACACCCGCCTACCCACCTCAGCGAGGCTCTACTACAAGCTGACCCACCAGCAGATGGGAACCGATATGGAGCAAGCCCAAGCCCGACAAGCCACAGAGAGATCAAACCCTGATCGTTAAACCACGCTGCCTATCATCAGACTTTCAAAACTTGGCATGCCCCAGTGCGGACAGGGACTATGCTTTACCGTTACAAGGTATAGGGTGACTGTGGACTGTGATATGGGTGCCACAGGGGGTCCCATCAGCCTTACTCTGCTAGATGTGGAAAGACTGTCACACTAACTCTTGTTACCTCCTGTCTTCCTTTCACTCTGAGCCCAACTAGGTCCCTTAATTGCTTACCTGATGTCCGGTACTATTTTCCCTGGGGACATGCTGGATATCAGCTGCAACACACTAAGCCCCTACAATTACAGCCATATGCTCTCGTTTTAAGCTGCAACACCTTGAGTATTTTCATACTTGTTCATTTGCCTGCAGGTCTCTGCTACATTAGCTTATACCTAAATGACCCTACCCTCTGGCAGGTGCGGTCAACACCAAATATGTTCACGTAGCTGTAGCTTACAGTACATGGCACAATAACATATATGTTATACTGCTCATCAGCATTTACCGTTCATGAGAGCAACATTTATGACACACGAGCATAGTTATTGATCTTTATCTTGTTTGGCTAATCGCGTATTAAGTCACCATCCTGAGTACTTTGGGTGCATGTACTGCTTCACCCTGTTAAGTTAAACTAGCTAATCACCCGCATGCTCATGCTTGCAGTTATTTAATTAATTTGCTGTGTTCTTTCTATGTAACGCATCTAAGATATACACGTATACCATCAATATTAATTAACATGTTTATAAAATGTGTATAGTTTGTACCAAACGATAACAAAAAGAAAAATGTGCAGTATTTTAGTGCCAAATTGTGATCCTTGATGGATAATATATGCATGCTGTTGTGGCACATTACACATGCTTGTTATTTTCATGCGCAGAAAAAAAATTTTTTTTCAGAAATTAAAATAATAAAGAATTCTTGCTCTACATAAAGATGGCTATAAGAAGATTACCAAGACCCTGAAACTGAGCTCTAGCACAGTGGGCAAGACCATACAGCGGTTTCACAGGACAGGTTCCACTCAGAACAGGCCTCACCATGGATGACCAAAGAAGTTGAGTGCACGTGCTCAGCATCATATCCAAATGCAGTCTTTGGGAAATAGACGTATGAGTGCTGCCAACATTGCTGCAGAGGTTGAAGAGGTGGGGGGTAAGCCTGTCAGTGCTCAGACCATGCGGCGCACACTGCATCAAATTGGTCTGCATGGCTGTCATCCCAGAAGGAAGTCTCTCTAAAGATGATGCACAAGAAAGCCTGCAATCAGTTTGCTGAAGACAAGCAGACTAAGAACATGGATTACTGGAACCATGTCCGGTGGTCCAATAAGACCAAGATATTGGTTAAGATGGTGGCAACCAGGTGAGGAGTTGGTTGCCTATAGTCAAGCATGGTGGTGGGAGTGTCATGGTCTGGGCCTGCATGAGGGCTGCCGGCACTGGGGAGCTACAGTTCATTGGGGGAACCATGAATGCCAATATGTTCTGTGACATACTGAAGCAGAGCATGATCCCCTCACTTTCGGAGACTGGGCCACAGGGCAGTATTCCAATATGATAACGACCCCAAACACAACTCCAAGACGACCACTGCCTTGGTAAAGGTGACTGACCTATTGAGCATCTGTGGGGCATCCTCAAATGGTAGGTGGGGGAGCGCAAGGTCTCTTACATCCATCAGCTCAGATTTGGCAGTTGCAAAGGAAGAGGTGGCCACGCTTGCCTGCAGAACTGCTACAACAGAAAAAGACCTTGGAGTGGTAAAAGTGGCACAGGCGACTATTGACACGGCCCTTAATATTCTGCAAAAGAGTAACGCTGATATACTCCTTGGCATGGCCCCCCTCGAAGACAGAAACAAGGTGAGAAATGTAAGACTCAGGGGGTCCCAGAGACAGTCACCACAGATGATATGCCTCATTATATTAGGAGGCTCCTTGCATCCCTGTTGTCGCCAAAACAAGTCAAAATGGTCACAATAGACTATTGCTTTCGCCTACCAAATTCCCCCAGGGTACCTTCAGAGACTTCCAGGGACATTTTAATTAACTTTGTGCGGTACTCTGACCAAGTAATTATCATGGGGGTTACCAGGACCATCCCTACTACGACCTTTGAAGGCAGCACACTTACCTTCTACCAGGATATGTCCTGCCACACCATCCTTTGGAAGCAGTCCCTCCCACCGCTCACCTAGCATCTCGGAAAACACCAGATGACCTATAAATGGGGCATTCACCGTCTCCTGGTAGAAAAATGAGGCAAAACCCATTCCCTCACGAACCTATCTGAGGTGCCCTACATGGTTCGGGAACTGGGGATGCCAGCCAGATCCTTCTCAGCAGCACACCATCCATCTTGGTCGGTCGACTGAATAATCCCATTCCTGCCAAGAGTAATGACGTCGAGATCCAGCGACTTGCCACCGCGAAGAGCAATACTGCTCTACTTTGTTTATAGCACATGTTCTCAAGCTTTTGTATATCATAATATATATGTTAATATCCCCCCACATCAGCCTATTACACAACAGCCCTTTGACAGCCTACCAAAGTTAGTCTGTGTATGTGACTGGTAGTCAGATCCTACTGTATTGTATTATTATGCCTGCAGCTGATGGGTAACCAGTTGACGGACATGGCTGACCTTCCATTCACATCTATGGTACTATTAACCAGCGTAATATTATGCAAAGGTCCTATCCGAAACTAAGCTTTCTGCCTCCTTGACCTGCCAATTACACTATAAAAACAATGTGCAGCACCTCTGACTTATTATGTTCCTTTTAATTATTGCAATATATTTTCTGTCTATGCTGACATGTCATTGAAAAGCTTATTGATATATATTTGCACTCCAAAAATAAAGAATTACTTTTTTTAAAATTTATTTTTAAAGACATACTTCTGCATTCCATATTTAAGAACAACTCCTGCAATTCTTGTTTCCTTGTCTCAGATTTAATTCCAAAAACATATATGTTGCAGGCACTCTGATTGGTGAGGACAGATATATGAGCAATAGTAAACCCTGGACACGGATTGGCGATTATGATATCATCATCCATATTCATTAACGCTCTCAGAGAATGTGCTGCAAGGCAGTGTGACTTATCCTGGGGACACAAAAATAAGACAAAACTGGTTAAAATATTACCACATTCTAAGGATTACACAGGGAGTGTGATCAGTTACACAACATGCAATTTACTCCCCATTTTTAATACATTGATTACAGGATATAGGTACTGTTGCGGAGGATATGGATGTTCTAGGTGTTACTCCGTATGTATGACCAGATCTGACAAGTAAATGGAGATGCATGGCAAGATTACAGCGGTTCTATCCAGTCCAGGACAGGAGCAGAATGATAGCTGTACTAGAGTGAAGCAGGATAAAATGTGGCAGTACGTTGGTAGGATGATGACAGGTACTGTGGATTGTTTTAAACAGAACTATATGGCCTAGAATTGGGCTAAGTTTCAGTGGACCAAATCTAGACACTAGAGTGAACTTCTCCTTAATGCTTTCCATGCCTGGTCCGTCATCACGCCGTGTCACTGCTTCCCACTTTGATGGCCAATCTCGAGGCTCAGAGGACATGCATATACTCTGTGCTGAGGAGGGCAGGGAGTGTGGGGTGGAGATAAGAAAAAGGAATGTAGCAGGGAGGGGTAAGAGAGGAGGTGACATACAGGCTTCTCCATGCCTGCGTGCTCAGAGGGCTATCCGCAAGACATGCTTACGACAAACATAAGTTTGGCACAGAATTAAGATTAGGCAGTCTGGCACGGAGTTCCATGCTGCCTACATCATGGGTGTCAAGGGTGCAACTAGACCCTGGAAGAAAATGACAGAATACGCTGTATTTAAGATGAAACACGGCACAAAGAGTGCTTGCTCCATGACCACTTCTAACCACTTCTCTTTTTCAATGTGCAGAAGTGGGGTAAACTAGAGAGCATTTGTGCTTTGGGATCAACTTGGGATAATGCCAAGGCATTACTGTATCACATGTTTTTGAAAGCATTCACAAGTGTGCTGAAGCTTACCCTTCTTTCTACTTATTTTTAAGCATCACTTTATTTGGAAATCTACAATTCATATGAAAAGCTCAGACCACAGTCATTTTCTATTGCAACAGGTTTTTTTAACATGTTCCCAAAACATAAATCTTGCTATATGCCCGTAGACAATAAAACAAAGACGCAAGTTATTTGGGTATTTACAATAGTTTCCATGGTAATCTTTTATACTCCTATACTATCTCTATGCAAGCAGCACTTAAACTAAATGTTCTTAAAGAAGGCCACAGTATTTCATGTCCACATTGTCCTTTAAGGATTAAAAGATCAAGCTCCTAAATTGGCCAAATTGGCCTTGCTGATAAACAACCTGCCATGAATGTGTTGCCATGCAACCCGTTTACTGATGTAACGACATTGTTTCTCTGCATTGAGAATAATTCCAAGCCTGGAGAGTGGGCAACTGTGCTATAAATCAAAAACACACTTTTCACAATTATTGCTCTTTTTAGCCTCCCTGTTAAAGGGAAAAAAAGCTTCCAATTTGGGAATAAAAACTGTGAAAACTATATGCTGTATTATAAAACTGATCTATTGTCTGTTTCTAATGGCAACCATCAGATCAAAATGTCAGTTAAGATCTGAAGCTCTAACAGTGTTCAGTTTAAGTGCCACAATGATTTGTTTCTTCTAACCATAAACTATCAGGCCAACACCAGCGGCGGTGAGATATTTTTTACGGGGGTGACATCGCTGACCTCGCATTTCTCAGAGATTGTCAAGCACTGAAGCACAAAGTTGGGGTGGTGCGTGCGTCTCTATTTGAGCTGCCGTCTTACAGAGGTTTCTTTGCTCATGGTGCTGGTGTGTTTGTACATATTTGGAAATAACAAATAAGCTGAATTGTATGTCAGAATATCATAAGTGAGATATTTACTCCAAAAACACATCATATAAAATGCCAGGAATTAGTTATGCGAAATTGGCATATGTATTGAAAAAAAACGAATATTAAATTATTTTTTAATCTATTTATTTGAAAAATATATATATTTTAAATAAGTCAGGGAGCCGAACATGAGCAAGGTAAATGTAAAGTGAAATATCAGCTTACCTGTAGTACGAGTTTGTTATCAATAAAGAGATCTAAATTGTTCAGTTCCTCTTTGAGATGTGGAGGGAAAATAAGTACATTTTCAAACTGCTTGTCCATGCAGTAGCTATAATTATCCATCTCTGAAGGGGACATTACTTCTATAAATCTTTGGCTGTTCAATACGTCGACAACTTCTGGGAGGCTTAAAAGAACACAATGTGTTTTAATTATCAGCATCATGTGTTTATCAGTCTACAAATGAGTCGATGAAATGTTTTATAACTTTTGCCAAAGTATTTTTTGAACAATGTGAAACCCCTAAGTTGTATTAATGTACTGTACTAGAAAATTAATGATAGAGACTTGCTTACTTATTTTATAGTGTGTCTGAAGATACCCTGTAAGTTAATCTATCGTTTGATAATTATTGACACATTAACGGACGCCAGTCACCCATTACCAATGTTGAAGCTATCACAGTCTCACAGAATAATTGAACACTTAGCAAATTCAAAACAAAAAAAAGGACTTAATTCATCATGAATAAACTGTTTTTGTTTTAACAATTCTCTAACACGTTTCTGAAAATTAGCGAGTATTTTTAGAAATGTTCAAAGTATTTGCATTGAGCAGATAAATACACATGTAGACAAGGCCTGAAATGCCCAGTTTGAACATATTTAAAGAATCAAACGTGCATATCAATGTTGATTTTGAATACAGCAGATTAATGACACATATCAGTTATTATCATCACCACTGCACTATAAAGGGTCAAGTAGGTCACAAGAAATCTTTCCAACATGGATCTATTTTGTCTGTCATTAACCTCACAATCTTGAACTATTGATCTCAGGACAAAGTCATAAACAATGATAAGTGAATTTAAACCCGGCTTTGGTTTATAATGCTTTCTAAATTTGACAGCCTTGCCAGCAGAAAAATGTTTGTGACATTTTGGATTGTGATCATGTTGTAAACACTCACAAAATACAGTCCAAAAGTTATGACATTCTTGATCAGATATTAATGCTGGATTGTAACTTATTCTATTTTCAGTGCTCAAAAGTGTAACCCATTAATGGCTAATGGTGAGTGGAAATGAATTTCTAGCAAGTGCTGGTGAAGAATGCCCCAAAGCAAAATGTATCCAAAGCAAAATGTCTAGAACGGCTAAGGCAGTTGTGAAGCAGAAGTGAAAGGTGTAGTTTCTACCTGCTTCCTGACAGTTCTAAGAAAACTTTGTTTAAGATATGGTAGCACTTGACTTAAAGTGATGCTCAAAGTACTATGATGATTTCAGTGATCTGAAATGGTCATTGTAGCGGAACCAGCCTCGCCACTGGGCATTGGAGAAGACTGATTGCCAGCCTCCTGCCCTGTGACATGGGCCCATGTTGAAATGCTTGATTTTCCCCTGCAAAGACCTGAAAGCTGGGTCATTTGGTACTTTCCCTATTTGAACAGGGATACCCCAGATAGCTATGCCATGGAGCCCATTCGTATAACGAAAGACTATGTGAAAGACTTTGGCTCCATGGCAATTGAACTGTATGTATGTGATCTGAGCGCCATTCAGTAATAATGTGCGCTCAGATCTGAGCTATCTGGGGATATGTTGAATGTACCTGTTTTATGCAATAGCTGCACAGTTATATATTTGTATGTATTTTATTGTCTTTTGCTACCATGTGTTCAATTGAGTTTTGCCTCTGTCCTTAGAGATAATTGGATTACTTCCCAATTATCTCCAGGATAGAAGACTTTGTGGAACTGGTTTTGGGCAGAAAAGGCATGCTTTATTTGGTCACAAAGGACGTTGATCTAATTTTTGACCCACTGGACCAATTTGTATGATTTTGACGTATGTTTGTATTTGGAGAATGATGATTCTGAAAATGTAAGTTTTATGTGAATGTGATGTATACTTTTAGAGTTATGAATATTGTGTAAAACTGTGTATTTTCCTGCCTGTGATAATTAAGTTAAACCATTGTGTTCAGTAATTATATCACAGGCAGAGGGGAGGATTTTGTGTGGGAGTGTCTGAGTGTATTGTACGTATTGATTGGTTGTTCTGCAAAACCCTGTGGGCAGTACTATGTTTGTAGAATGTGAATAAAAGAGGCTGTATGTGCCAGTACAGTCAGTTCTACTTCACCCTCAATTTGGAGTGCCGTCTCTTATTGGGGGAATCTGCTACAAGGGATTGCTATGCTCTGCATACTTTCTTGCTATATTCACTGCTAAGCTCTTGTAAGAGCTTGTTCCTGTCCTGCTCGCTGAAGGAGTCCACGGTGGTTATGGTGTCGGCTGGAGTCCTTGGAGTCCTCAGGAAGCGCTAGGAACATCCTTCAACGGAGGTACCCAGTCGTGGTGCCAGGTGATCCGTTACAGTCATGGTACCTGGAGTCTATATGTGCAGCATTTTGCTGTGAAACGCTGCACATGCTGAGTTTAACCCCTTAAGGACCAAACTTCTGGAATAAAAGGGAATCATGACATGTCACACATGTCATGTGTCCTTAAGGGGTTAACTATTTGGCTGCTGGAGTTGTAACTCCACTTCCAGAAGCGACACAAGGACGTCATTAGCCAGCCCAAAACAAATGTTTCAGGCTGGCTAATGTTGATTCTGTTTAAATCTTAGCCATAGTCATAAAACTAAGTCCGAACCTAACACACTAACCCTAGTCATAGTCATGACACTAAGTCCAAACCTAATACACTAACCATAGCCATAGTCATAAAACTAAGTCCGAACCTAACACACTAACCCTAGCCATTGTCATAACACTCAGTCCAAACCCAACACACTAACCATAGCCATAGTCATAACACTTGATCCAAACCTAACACACTAACCCTAGTCATAGTCATGACACTAAGTCCAAACCTAATACACTAACCCTAGTCATAGTCATGACACTAAGTCCAAACCTAATACACTAACCATAGCCATAGTCATAACACTCAGTCCAAACCCAACACACTAACCCTAGCCATAGTCATAACACTCAGTCCAAACCCAACACACTAACCATAGACATAACACTAAGTCCAAACCTAACACACTAACCTTAGCCATAGACATAACACTAAGTCCAAACCTAACACACTAACCTTAGCCATAGTCATAACACTAAGTCCAAACCCAACACACTAACCCTAGTCATAGTCATAACACTCAGTCCAAACCCAACACACTAACCATAGACATAACACTAAGTCAAAACCTAACACACTAGCCCTAGCCATAGTCGTAACACTAAGTCCAAACCCAACGCACTAACCTTAGCCATAGTCATAACACTCAGTCCAAACCCAACACACTAGTCATAGTCATAACACTCAGTCCAAACCCAACACACTAACCATAGACATAACACTAAGTCAAAACCTAACACACTAGCCCTAGCCATAGTCGTAACACTAAGTCCAAACCCAACGCACTAACCTTAGCCATAGTCATAACACTCAGTCCAAACCCAACACACTAAGCATAGACATAACACTAAGTCCAAACCTAATACACTAACCCTAGTCATAGTCATGACACTAAGTCCAAACCTAATACACTAACCATAGCCATAGTCATAACACTCAGTCCAAACCCAACACACTAACCCTAGCCATAGTCATAACACTCAGTCCAAACCCAACACACTAACCATAGACATAACACTAAGTCCAAACCTAACACACTAACCTTAGCCATAGACATAACACTAAGTCCAAACCTAACACACTAACCTTAGCCATAGTCATAACACTAAGTCCAAACCCAACACACTAACCCTAGTCATAGTCATAACACTCAGTCCAAACCCAACACACTAACCATAGACATAACACTAAGTCAAAACCTAACACACTAGCCCTAGCCATAGTCGTAACACTAAGTCCAAACCCAACGCACTAACCTTAGCCATAGTCATAACACTCAGTCCAAACCCAACACACTAAGCATAGACATAACACTAAGTCCAAACCTAACACACTAGCCCTAGCCATAGTCGTAACACTAAGTCCAAACCTAACACACTAACCCTAGCCATAGTCATGACACTAAGTCCAAACCTAACACACTAACCATAGCCATAGACATAACACTAAGTCCAAACCCAACACACTAACCCTAGCCATAGTTGTAATACTAAGTCCAAACCTAACACACTAATCCTAGTCATAGTCATAACACTCAGTCCAAACCTAACACACTAGCCATAGTTGTAACACTAAGTCCAAACCTAACACACTAACCCTAGTCATAGTCATGACACTAAGTCCAAACCTAATACACTAACCATAGCCATAGTCATAACACTCAGTCCAAACCCAACACACTAACCCTAGCCATAGTCATAACACTCAGTCCAAACCCAACACATTAACCATAGACATAACACTAAGTCCAAACCTAACACACTAACCTTAGCCATAGACATAACACTAAGTCCAAACCTAACACACTAACCTTAGCCATAGTCATAACACTAAGTCCAAACCCAACACACTAACCATAGTCATAGTCATAACACTCAGTCCAAACCCAACACACTAACCATAGACATAACACTAAGTCAAAACCTAACACACTAGCCCTAGCCATAGTCGTAACACTAAGTCCAAACCCAACGCACTAACCTTAGCCATAGTCATAACACTCAGTCCAAACCCAACACACTAAGCATAGACATAACACTAAGTCCAAACCTAACACACCAGCCCTAGCCATAGTCATAACACTAAGTCCAAACCTAACACACTAACCCTAGCCATAGTCATGACACTAAGTCCAAACCTAACACACTAACCATAGCCATAGACATAACACTAAGTCCAAACCCAACACACTAACCCTAGCCATAGTTGTAATACTAAGTCCAAACCTAACACACTAATCCTAGTCATAGTCATAACACTCAGTCCAAACCTAACACACTAGCCATAGTTGTAACACTAAGTCCAAACCTAACACACTAACCCTAGCCATAGTCATAACACTAAGTCCAAACCTAACACACTAACCCTAGCCACAGTCATAACAATCAGTCCAAACCTAACACACTAGCCATAGTCATGACACTAAGTCCAAACCTAACACACTAACCGTAGCCATAGTCATAACACTAAGTCCAAACCTAACACACTAGCCATAGTCATGACACTGGGTCTGAACCTAACACACTAACCCTAGTCTAAAATGATCATGTAATAGAAAAGATACATATTGGAAAAATGTGTAAGGGAAAAATAATGCCATCTCAAGGATTCAACTTTGATAAAAGTCTCTCAGTGAGACTGAAACGTCTTTCTAAATATATATATTTCCATTTCTCCAGTTCAGACTATCAACCATAAGCAGCATTAATGCCACAATGACACCCTGATTCTACAAATTGACAGATTTAAAAAAAAATACAAATAGCTCAATGTGAACAAGGAACCTACCTGGTTTTGGCTGTATTGACCCATGCATAGAGGGGTAACTTTGATGCTCTCAGTTCTTCTTTCCGTACATTCTCAGGTAGTATGTATTCAATAGCAGGAGCAGAATATTTTATTCGACTTCTTGCGAGAGAAGCAGCCAGTTTAGTTCTATATCTAAAAATTGGATTAAAAAAAAAGTTTAAGATTGCCAGACACTAATTAATGTTTATATACTATGTAGTATTTCCATTTCCATTCCATTGTATGTCTTTAAAACAAAACTGACATGAAAAAATAAAATAAAATAAATTAAAAACATTATATTAATGGTTTGAAAGGAGTAAAAAGTAGATAATAGCATATTTATAATGCAGCAGAGAACACATTAATATTTACACACTAAGGAAATCTCCCTGTGTGAACATTTTAAACTGCAAGACCTGTCTCTGGCTTGGCCAAATTCCCTACAGCGGCCACACAGGTATACCAGTCACTTAAACCACTGGTGTAAGCAAATAGTTACAGAAATTATAACAAGTCAAATACCAGTAACAACGTTGAATGAACATTAAAAGAACACTACTATATCAGAAATAAAAATATTTATTACTGATCCTTAGATTGTTTAAGAAAGCTGTTTTTACTCACCTTTTTAACCACTCTGCACCAGTGTCAACACGGTTGGCCTCGTCTTTATGGCTAAGATAATTAATCTTGATGATTTCAGCCAGTCCAATGTTTTCCCATAGGAAAGTATTGGTAGGCTATTGTGCATGTGCGGCACTGGACTAGGAAGCACCTCTCGCGGCCGTCTGAGTGAGAACCACTTGAGGTGTCCCTAGGCAGCAATGTAAATACAGCATTTTCTCTAAAAAGGCAGCGTTTATATTGAAATGCCTGCAGGGACAGACTATAGACACCAGAACAACTACATTAAGCTGAAGCTGTTCTGGTGACTAAAGTGTCTCTTTAACCCAAATGTTTCTGATCTTTAAATGCTAACAAGCTTTCAAACATATTTGAATGAAAACAGTGAACATAAGAAAGGCGTTGCAGCTTTTTCACTGGTTTTGTACCTGTACAAAAGCTTTTCAACTTCTCGCACTTCTTCTATGATTTCGTCGTTATCATATGCGTAACGAGGTTGGAATTTTCGATCCTGGAAATCATACAGCATGACCACAGCCAAACTGGTCATTTCATCACCCTAAAAATGGATATCAGAAGGGAAAAACAAGAGAAGAAAAATCCAAAAAGGTATTATTGTTTATTCGCACTTAACTAAAAATATACATAATATTATTATTTTGGATTTCAAAACAAAATTGGATATTGAATTGGGATTTGGGTTGTAGCAAATACTATCGTGACTGTCAAATAGCGCGCAAGTAATTGCCAAGCGTTCTGCAGACCTCAAACTCCTGTCCTGGTACTCCCACCAACCCTATGTCCACTGGACGTGTTAATATTTCCTCATTTCATGTTTGTATAACCATATAGATTTTGCAATTTTGTAGTTGTAGATATCTGGAGAAGTGGCTTGTCTAACAAATGCATCTCCTATTGTATCAGCTCACATGCAGGGTCACAGTCTTCATACAATGAGTATCATTAAGTTGGTTAATGCTAAGAAAATGATGTGACTTATTATACTCTTTGCACTCTATGTAGAAAGATCACTTATATTTATGTTATTCTGTAATATTACAGCACTCCTCAAATCATCAATAAAGGAGTTTGTTATATTTGTTGACCTACGCAACATGATAATATAGAGTTTATATGACTTATTATTCAACTATAATTTAGCAATCCTATCAAAATATTGTACTCACCACCAGTTGAGAATAATAGAAACCGCTGTCTAATAATATATTTTCAAGAAGGTCTTGGTCTAAAAAAGAAAAAAAAAATGTAAAAATTGAAATCAAGACAAATCTTTATGAAAATGTTAAATTACATTATTTTAAGGATTATATGTGTTACAAGGAGAAACAGAAATGCTATACTACTGCGAAGTGTGCTAGGATGTGAAGAATGGAGGTGGGTAGAGCTATTTACAAGCCCTGTGCAGAGTTAAAATAGAACAGAACAGAGCAATAGAAAAATGTATATCTCTACAGAGTGAAAAACAGTACAGGAGCAAAGTAAAGGGTACATCGGACTATAATGTTTAATTCAATACTAAACTGAAGATCGCATACAATGGCAAGAAAAAGTAAGTGGTTAAGAAGAAACATACAGTCCCATAGTGCCCCAACAGTATCAGCGGTGAAAACGTTGTTCAAGATAATACATTTGTAAAGATAATACATATGTAACAATGGGGCATTATATAGCAATAACATAACTTGATCATGCATGTATCTCCTTTACAACATAACAATTGCTTAAAAGGACACTATAGTCACCAGAACAACTACAGCTTATTGAATTTGTTCTGGTCAGTAGAATCATTACCTTCAGGCTTTTTGCAGTAAACACTGTCTTTTCAGAGAAAATGCAGTGTTTACATTACAGCCTAGGGATAACTTCACTGGCCACTCCTCAGATGGCTGTTAGAGATCCTTCCTGGGTCATGGCTGCCTAAAATGGATCACAACATAACAGTATATCCTCCCTTTGCATGCAGACACTGAACTTTCCTCATAGAGATGCATTGATTCAATTAATCTCTATGGGGAGATGCTGATTGGTCAGGGCTGTGTTTAAATTGTGCTGGCTCTGCCCCTGAATTGCCTCCTTGTCAGTCTCAGTCAATCCAATGGGGAAGGATTGTGATTGGATCAGGCCACCACTTCTGATGATGTCAGCAGGCAGGTCAAAAGGAAACAGGGACAAAGCAAGCAGCTCCAGACTTGAATACAAGTAAGATTTTACTATATTTAGGGAGGCACAAGGGGGCAAGGGGAGCTAGATGGTTGTTTTAAGCCTATAGGGTCTGGAATACATGTTTGTGTGCTTGACCCTATAGTGTTCCTTTAAGATGAGGACAATGGTATAGTAAAATTAAATCAAAGTACAGTGAAATTAAATCACATTGCAGAGCCTGTTATATTTCTGTTCGGCAATTGATATACACGACTTTCGAGACATCTTATCTTAAATGTATCAAACCCGTACACTAACTTTGTTGGGTGACTCTTCTGGCCTCTCAGGAGGGCTGAGTGTGTAGTGGTGGAGTCCCAAGTTAGGTTCATGGATTTGTTAATGAGGAAGTCCGTGTAGTCCCGGGTCCTGTGAGCTCATCTATTAATATTAAGCCAGTATTGGCTGTTATTGGTAATTGAGTAATAAGTCGTGGACTGTATCCCATCATCAAAGCTCTCTATCCTTACGAAGGTTTCAAGACTGATGTGTTAACTAAGCTGCTCATGTTCGCTTCCAATGTTACAGATTGTCTTTATTACTAACTAAATTAACGAAACTTGATTAATTAAACTATTTGGTACTGGGGTCTTTTGGGTCTATACCCAAATTCTATCCCTTTGAGTGATAACACGAGAAACGGTGTAGTAGTAGCTTTTTTTATGGTGTAAGCACCTCTATGTATCTTTATCCATACATTTGAGCCACGATTCCCATATTAGTGTGTACAGAGTGTATCTGTGTGTGAGTGAGTAATGTAATTCTTTCATTACTCTCATATCCTCTACCTTTTGAATCCATTCCCTAATCGTAGGGGCAAAGCTATGTTTCTATTTGCGCATACCAACATTAAAACATCATCCCAAGGGTAAGGCACAGTGGAGGGAGCATTATGATTTGGGGTTGCTTCCCTGTTTCAGGACCTAAACAACTTGCCATCATTGAGGGAAAATTAATTCCTAAGTGTATCAAGATTTCCTACAGGATAATATTAGGGTAGTTATACGCCAGTTGAAGCTCAGTAGAAGTTGGGTGATGCAGCAGGACAATCATCCTAAACACTGAAGTAAGTCCACTACAAAAGGGCTTAAAAAAAAAGAAAATACACCTTTTGGAGTGACCCAGTCAGAGCCCAGACCTTAATCCCATAGAGATGCTGTGGAATGACCTCAAGTGAGCTCACACCAGACACCCTGGCTGAGTTGAAGCAGTTTTGTAAGGAGGAGTGTCCCAGAATTCCTCCTGAATTTTGTGCAGTTCTAATCCGTGGATACCGGAAACACTTGGTTGGGGTTATTGCTGCCAAAAAAGGATCAACTAACTATTAAACCCAAGTGTTCAATTACTTTTTCCACATATTGTAAGCTTATGCAAATTGTGTTTGTCTAGACTTCGATGAAGATGAGATTACATTTTATGACCAATTCAGGCAGAGAACCAACTAATTCCAATGGGGTCACGTACTTTTTCTTGCCATTGTTAATACACACAATACATGCTGGCCTAGAAAAGGTTAAAGGGACACTATAGGCATCCAGACCACTACAGCTCATTGAAGTGGTCTGGGTGCAATGTCCCATGTCACTTAACCCCACAGTGGTAATTATTGCAGTTTCTGAGAAACTGCAATAATTACCAATCAGGGTTAACTCCCCCTCTAGTGACGGTCTACCAAATAAGGCTTTACACCTTTAGCAGGCGCTTAAGGTTACAGTTGCATTAGTGTTGCAAAATAAATGAATAGGATTGTGTTTGTTTTGTGTATTTAGTGGCTACAACTGACAGTTGTTTAGTACCCTGATGACACAACAGATTGGCTTTTGGATTAATGTATTTACTCAGCAAACACACCATCTTATTAAAATCAATACAAAAAGCTCAGACCCTGTCACTTTTCTATTTGTAACCTGAGAAGACAGTGCTAAAAGCCAACATATACATTAAACACATACACACAATGAGATGACAGAATCACAGTAACCTGGTGAAGGATTATCTAAATCCCTGTGTATTACGCGTATAACAAGAAGTACATTATAAAATGGAATGTCTTTTTCTGGAGCTTTCAGACCCTCAGCTAGTATTAAAGGAGAATCTAATTAATTTCACTATATACAGAAATGTGATTTACCTGGTCATGAGACCCATATTTCCATAGTGTACAGTAGACAATGACATGGACATGACATCTGGAGGAGCTTACTAGCTTTTTGCTATAAGCATGTAGCACCTGATAGGAGCTGGGGGTCATAATAATAATAATATTGTGACAGGGAGGGGTGCAAAACCAAGGAGTTGGCTAGACTCCCATATATATATGAAACCAGGGGGCTGCACTCACCTGAACATGCATAAATGGGGTGCTGCTGGGGGTCATTGCAGACTAGGAAAAACCTTCAGTGGCCACTCCTCAGATGGCTTCTAGAGGTGATTCCTGGGGCAGCAGCACTAACATTCAATGTCTCCACTCTCTGCATGGAGACACTGAACTTTCCTCAAAGAGATGCATTGATTCAATGCATCTCTATGAGGAGATGCTGATTGGTCTGGGTGGTGTTGGCTCTGACCCCAGCCTGCCTCCTTGGCTGGGATGATTAGAATTGACAATATCAGCCAATCCAATGCTTTACAATGGGAAAGCATTGTGATTGGCTGAGATAATCACTTCTGATGATGTCAGTCAAGGAAGCAGATCAGGGGTAGAACCATAAGTATCAGACTGGAATAAAGGTAATATTTTACTATAATTAGGAGGGTATGGGAGAGCTAGATAGTGTTTTTAAAACTATAGGGTCAAGAATACATTTGTGTTCCTGGTCTTGTAGTGTTCCTTTAACCAGGAATGCTAGAGAATACAAAGACATTTCAAACAATGGGGTGCATCCAAAATTGTGTGGCAATTTTTCCAGCACAAAGCAAGGTCCACAAAGACCAGGTTCGCTGTAGGGGAGCTCGACTGACTTGCAGAAAGTTCTGACCTCAACACCTTTGTAATTATTTGGAACACAGACTGAAAGCCAGAACTCCTAGTCCGATACCAGTGCCTGATATCACCAACACACTACTCCTGTGAAAAGCCTCCCCAGAAAAGTGGTGGCTGCAAAGGGGGAGAATGGACTCCATATTAATGCCCATGGTTTTGGGATGGGATGGGATGTGCAACAAGCTCATACAGGTGTGATGATCCGGAGTCTACAGACTTAATATGTGTAAATACAGTTGTGTACATGTGGGGAGGCTTGGTGTGTGTAAATACAGGGGCATATGTGTGACATTGCTCAGTGTGTGTTAATGCAGGGGTTTATATGTATGAAGGACTATTCTGTGAAAGCGTATATATTTTCATACCCATTCCCCAATTAATAAGCACGTTTTATTTTTGGCACCACATTCTCCACCTCTTCATCCTCCCATAGCCAAAAGTCCATTTCAACCCCCCGCCCCACTGTCAAGGCCCTGTTTTCCCACCCTCTATTCCATGAGTATGCAGCCTTCAGCACTGCAAATGCTGTGGACTATACATCCCCTGATGCTTTGTCAGCATTATAGCTGTAAAAGTATTATGGTAGATGAAGTCATTATTAGTGGTTTGCCATTTCACTGCTTACATCTTTGATGACTGCAAAGTAGACTTGTGCACGATCTGCTTAGGCATCAATACGAGCAATGCCACATGTATACATCAAGTGCTGATGCCACAATCTAGTTGTCTGTAGCAGGGATAACAAGATGAAAAAAGCAACCTGCCTGATGCCTTTATCTACATGTCATTGGCATTAAGTGACAGGAATTCCACATCCCTGAAATTTATATTTATATATCTCAAAACACCTTGCTAAGAGGTGCCTGGCACCAGTGGGCAAGTTAGCATTGCTGTACAAAGAACACAGTCACCTGCTATATAAACAATATAGCCCCAGCATACAGTTACTAGTCGGAGCTAAGAATTTGTAAAGAAAACTGAAATGGTTGCACCTTTGACGAGAATGTGCTTAAGTAACAGTCACATGTCACATGATATGAAGAATGCATAAGTGTCCCTTTGGTCAAATAGATGGAGCAGGTTATCAGTTATTTGTGAATTCTTATCTTTCAAACACTGTTAGTTAAATATACTTATGTTAATGCTTTCGTCACTTGCAGCAAGTCCCCATTCATATTTCCTTCAACAGAATTAGACAACATTGAGTGACCACTTACACAGGGTGTGCACTTACCTGTAAACATTGATAACCGGAGGGAAATTTCAGCAAAAGGAAACATCGTAATCATGAATATATAAAGTTGTTTCCAAGTTTACTTCTCAACAATTGTATCTGCAGGAGCAGGTTTACTGGTGTGCGTCACACGCACGCATACACGCGCATACACATACACACACACACTCTCTCTCACTTTACAGTTAATGGCCCGCGGATACTATGAGTGTCTGAAGAGTACTAGTCACCCCTTATTCCTGTCTCACTTTGGTCCCTTTTCACCCACTTTAACATCAGATGGAGGATTTAGCTCCACAATTAGCATGTGAGACAGCTAAAACCTGACATTTTAGTGCTAAAGTCAGTAAAAAAAAAAACCTCTGTACGAGTAAAATCACAAATAAAAGGGAAGAAGATGGTAGGATAGTGTAGCAAGGCAGGGATCGCCAATCATCTGTCAATGGCATGAAAATATAAATTCAGTTGGAAGTAAGCACAGCTTTTAAACTCCTATACATGGGTAATACAAATTTAAGATTTTTATTAAAAGAGATTGGCACAGCATTACTTAAAAGTACACTATAGGCACCCAGACCACTACATCTCAATGAAGTGATCTGGGTGCCATGCACCTGTTATTTAACCCCGCAACTGAAAACATTTCAGGGATAACATGCCTTTAGTGGCTGTCACTCAAGCACGCTTCCACCCCAATATCTGAGTTAGCCGGCTATTTAAGAGATGGTATAACAGAGACCATTTGATTGGAGCTGCACGATATTCTACCATGCATGAAATTTAGCCTCCCAATGCTTTCCTATGATCTCAGCCACAGAGGTGGGTTTGGCCATGGAGAGACCACTATGGCAAGGGAGGGGGAAAGAAGTTAAAAAAAAAGTATTACCTTTTTCCTACACACAAGGGGGGAGCAGGTCACTGTAGTATTAGGAATACATGTTTGTATTCTTAACCCTGTAGTGTTCCTTTACAGACAACATTATTATTATTGCAACCAGTACAAGATCCAAGGTGCTTTTTGACTTTTTTCACCTCCTTCAAAAAAGAGTTTAGGAGGGGCAACACGAGCAGCCACCTCACACCTATGTGGCGCTGTACAATTCCACAACTTTTAGTATTATGAGAGGTCTTGCACTTCATCTACAGCCATGGCAATGTCCAAAGAATGTGCAGATCAGTTTATGTGACAATATTTTGTTATGTATAGATTAGATGCATATATTCTCATCTTCTCTAATCTTCACATGAACTCATTATATTTAAAGAAATACTGACACCACTTGATTTTCTTTTTTATGACGATTCAATGAATCTATTATTGTGCACTTTTAGATTATATTTTTTTTTCATTGAACATTCATTTTGTACAGCAGTTTCATTACATTTTTATATGCCAACTGAGGGAGATTTTTGCTATTGTTGCTGCTACAGTCATCTTCGCACTCTCTACACAGCCATTTTCCCGGCAATCATTGCCCCATTCATTTTATTGTCAATAAAAACAATATATTTTCATATTGCCCATTCTGGTTTATTCAACCTGATATTATGGAGTTTCTTTATAGGGAACTTTCAGTCTCTAGGGCTTATGCTACCCAGGATTTATCGGCTATTAAAACCTTTGTAATTAAAGGTTCATCTTCTTCATCCATCTTTGGCACTATCCCTATGGGGCCATTCCTGGGATAACTAAACACATGTTTCTTAATTACTTTGTTGAGAACTTTAAATACCTTAAGTATGATTATCTCATACAGTTCTACATACTCTACAGAACAGAAAACGGGATTAAATATAGATCTCATTTATACTGGCAGGTACTTAGTAACAGGCTATTTTGGAAGAGTTACAATAGTTTTTTTGTTTTTTTTTAAATTCTTGATTTTTGCAGTGCACGTAATAACAGTTGTGCCAATGTGGCCAAGAGAGTATAGACAAGGAAAATATTCCAAAAAAACTGGTTACATATACTTGGCATATGATGAAGTCACACTTTTTTAAAATTAGTAGACAAAGCAAACAATAGCATGTCAGTAGTGTAATCATCTTAAAGGACCACTACAGTGCCAGGAAAACATACTCGTTTTCCTGGCACTATGGTGCCCTGAGGGTGCCCCCACCCTCAGGGACCCCCTACCGCCCGGCTCTGGGGAGAGGAAAGGGGTAAAAACATACCTTTTTCCAGCTCTGGGTGGGGAGCTCTCCTCCTCCGATCCTCCTCCATTCCTCCCATTCGGCTGAATGCGCACGCGCGGCAAGAGCTGCACGCGCATTCATCCGATCGCATAGGAAAGCATTCATAATGCTTTCCTATGGACGCTTGCGTGTTCTCACTGTGATTTTCACAGTGAGAATCACGCAAGCGCCTCTAGCGGCTGTCAATGAGACAGCCACTAGAGGAATTGGAGGAAGGCTTAACCCATTCTCTGAAACTGCTATGTTTATAAAAAAAATGGGTTAATCCTAGCTGGACCAGGCACCCAGACCACTTCATTAAGCTGAAGTGGTCTGGGTGCCTAGAGTGGTCCTTTAATGTGCAAGTCAAGATGTTGTACTGCGCATGAAGTATAGATTGCGTTTATAAACAGGACAAAAAGTAGAGAGGCCTGTATGGCCTGGGTGTGACCAGAAGCTCCATTTCGGTTGTGTAGGTTTCCCTTTGGATGCCCCCTGAGGAGTCCCCAATCGAGAGTGCTTCCGCATGTAGTTGGTGTTCGTATGGAGTGGGGTCTCTGGCACTTGCTGTTGTTGGCATTGATAGTAAGCATTTTACAGGGATTATGCACAGATAAGATATGCCCCTAACCAAGGGGGCACGGCAGGGGGGGGAGAGTAAGTTAGTGCCCTTGCGCGCTGCCGACCAGGTTTTCTGCTATGGCTGTGTGGTTGTGTGGGCTGGGTTTCCTACAAATGGGGAGGCAGTCCTTTATCCAATGAATTCGTTAGTATGCAACTTGAAAGAAAAGATAAATAAAAATAAAGTAAATTACAAACTCTTAAAACAAACTAGGTGAAGTTACAGTTCCAGGGTATGGTAAAGCCGATGTCATCCTTCCGTTTTTTCAGGTCACGTGGGAGTTCGAAATGCCAGCTCGACAGGTTACTACTCAGGCTGGGACAAGTTGTGCCGGTGTTGTGAGGCCCATTGTGGTCAACATTGCAGGGATTTCCGCTTTGGATCGGATTCTCTGATATTGCAGAAGGTCTTGATGGTAAGGTATGTCTTTTTTCTCATGATACTAAGATATGTAACAGGGTTGATGTTCCAGGAGGGATAAGCCAAATGGCAAATGATTTAGGTAAACTAGAAAAATGGTCAGAGTTGTGGCAACTGACATTTAATGTGGATAAGTGCAAGATAATGCATCTTGGATGTAAAACCCAAGGGCAGAGTACAGAATAGAGTCCTAACCTCAACATATGAGGAAAGGGATTTAGGGGTGATTATTTCTGATGACTTAAAGGTAGGCAGACAATGTAATAGAGCAGCAGGAAATGCTAGCAGAATGCTTGGTTGTATAGGGAGAGGTATTAGCAGTAGAAATAGGGAAGTGCTCATGCCATTGTACAGGACACTGGTGAGACCTCACTTGGAGTATTGTACGCAGTACTGGAGACCGTATCTCCAGAAGGATATTGATACTTTAGAGAGAAGTTCAGAGAAGGGCTACTAAACTGGTTCATGGATTGCAGGATAAAACTTATCAGGAAAGGTTAAAGGAACTTAACATGTATAGCTTGGAGGAAAGACAAGACAGGGGGGATATGATAGAAACATTTAAATACATAAAAGGAATCAACACAGTAAAGGAGGAGACTATATTTAAACGAAGAAAAACTACCACAACGAAAGATTTAAAATTAATATCAGGAAGTATTACTTTACTGAGAGGGTAGTGGATGCATGGAGCCTTCTACGTACGTAGTTTGGTTGTAAAAGGCGCCATGGTCCTGCACCAGTGCAGGGTGGCCCTGGAGAGATCTTGATAAAATTAGAGTTGTGAGTCCTCGAATTGTACAGGAGTTTTGCCCTGCAGAGCAGACCTAATGCGGGTTCGATTTGCATATGAGGTGCATTTCAGGATTACATCTCGCAGCATGGAGGTGGTATTTTTTGGGTTTCCCGCAACTCTACAGGCCCCATCTAGGGTCATCTTCTTGGCCATCACTGACGGTAAGGTAGTGGCCAGTAGCCTCCGGATATAGTGAGGCAATTCATCCACAGTTATTGCTGCGGGGATGCCGCAGATTTTTACATGGTTGCAGCGGTGACAATCCTCCACCGTGGTTAGTTGCATGAGCATTGAGTGCTAGTTATTTTGAAGCTAGAGGACCTTTTTGCTGAGCGTGGTAACTGCTGCCTGTACATCTCGTACAGTTCATTCTGTGGCCTGTGCCCGGGCGGAGACTGCCTGGATCTCCTTCTGTGCGAGGGCTCGGTCTGCTGCCATCATTCTATGGAGGTCTGTAAGCAAGACCCTGAGGTCATCTTTTGTTGCTGGTGCCGAACCCCCTGTGAGCTCCTGGGGAGGCTGTCGAGCTGCATCAGGTGTCTGAGGTGAGGTTTCCCTGGGCCTCCAGTATTTGCTGTGATGTGACTGCTTCTGTGACCGCTTCTTGTTTTAGCTTGTGAGGGTTTTTGGAGCATGACTCCTATGTCCCTGCCTTCCGGCTTTTGAGAACATTGACCCATGGCCTCTGTGCGCTCCAGAGATGGAGGGGGTGAGTATTGGGTGTTCCCGAGTCCACTGTGTATCAAGGAGCTGCCTAGGAGTGACTCCAGGGAGAAACATGGCGGCTGGGAAACTCATGGGACACAGAGAGAGATGGGGGGAATAATGGGACACAGAGAGCTGGGGGGAGCTAATGGGACACAAGGAGAGCTGAGGGGGGAGCTAATGGGACACAAAGAGCTGGGGAGAGCTAATGGGACACAAGGAGAGCTGAGGGGAGCTAATGGGACACACAGGGCTGGGCGGGGGATTTAAGAACACATGGAGGGCTGGGAAGGGGTATAGGGACACATGGATGGCTGGGAGGGGGCTAATGAGACACATGGGGGCTGGGAGGGATGGCTAGTGGGACACATGGGGGCTGGGGGAGGGCCTATTGGGACACATGGGGGCTGTGGAGGGCTTATTGGGACACATGGAGGGCTGGGAGGGGGCTAATGGGAAACATGGAGGGCTGGGGGGCGAATGGGACACATGGGGGCGCTACTGAGACACATGGTAGGGCTAATGAGACACATACAGGGCTGGGAAGGGGGCATAGGATCACATGGAGGGCGCTAGAGGAAGCCATGGAAGGCTGGGAGGGAGGGCTAGTGGGACACATGGAGGGCTGGGGGGGGCTATATGGACAGAGAGAGGGCTAATAAGACACATGTGGGGACTACTGAGACATATGGAAGACTGGAGAGGGTGGAATGAGACACATGGAGGGCTGTGGGGTAATGAGACACATGGAGGGGCTGTGGAGTAAAAAGACACACGGAGGAGTGTGGGGAGAAAGAGACAGAGGGGTTGGGAAAGGAGAACAGGAGACACACACAGAAGAGCTGAGGAAGACGAACAAGAGACACACAGAGGGGCTGGGATAGGGGAGAATGAGACACACAGAGGAGCTGTGGGGAAAGATTCACATAGAGGTGCTGGGGCCTGGGAAAGGGACTCACAGAAGGGCTAGGGAAAGGGAGAAAGAGACAATGGGGCTGGGGCTTAGAGACACATGAAAGGGGCTTGGGGGAGAAAGACACAAACAAAATGCATCTTCACTTGTGTCTCCTGCTCTCCCTGTAACTCAGAGTTGACCGGTGAGAGAAAGACGTTTAATGTAGTGGTTCTGGTGTCTATAGCCTGTCCCTGTAGGCTGAGCGCTGTAAATGCTACCTTTTCAGAGAAAATGCAGGGTCTACATTGCTGCCTAGGCACAACTCTAGGGACAGTCACTCAGACGGCCACTATAGAGCTTGCTAGTCCAGTGCTACCCACTCTGCATGGAGGTGCTGATCACTCCCCATAGAGATGCATTGATGCAATGCATCTCTATGAGGAGATGCTGATTGGTGCGGGTAAGCACAGCATTTTGCCACACATGCGCAATAGCTCCCCAATGCTTTCCTATAGGAATTTAATTGGCATTGACTGAAATGTATCCAGTTTTAAGCCAAAGTTAAGATGACTTATTGATGTAGTACTTGGGAAGAAAGATTTAGTAAGTCTCAGATATAGGATGCAGTTAGCGTTTAGTTTCCGCTGATCACTAACCCATTAAAGAGAGATTTATCTAGTAACCTAGAATAATTTTGGAGTGAGGGAACTCAGGGATCAGTCTGTATGTATGCACTTTATAAATATAGAGATTTATTAGTAGGATTAAGTTATCTTGCGTTTAGCTGGGAGAGGCACTTATTTTAGGTGCCTGGGCAACTCATTGTAAGATACGGGCTGTGTGCATGATCTAAACAGGACTGATGCTTTCATACCTCTAGTATTTCCCTATGCAGATTTTTTCTATGTGTTCTAATGGTCACTACTACTGCTATTTTGTTGCCACTTGGGGAAGAGAGGATAATACAATTTGCAACAATTACTGATTTCTGCAAGTATAACTAAGGCAGACTCACTCATTTATTCATATCACCTCCCCTGTAGTGGTGAACTTACTCCTATTTTGAGACATTTAGGTGACATACCACTCTACATTTACCCTGGCATTTAATAAAAGGATTTTTCCCATATAAATCAGCACTGGTTATATGTGAGGGTATTATCTTATTTTTTTTATATTTTATTATCTGTTATTTTGGGATTTCTTAACTTTAAGCTATATGCTCTTAATTTAAAAAGGCTATCCAACGTTTTGTTGGTTCCTTTTCTTGGAACAATTCTGATATTCACAATTAGGGTTAGGCCCTCATAAGTTGGATGGTTCCCTATTAAGAGACCTTATTTTCTCTTTTTTCTATATCTATAAACAGGGAATGTTCACGTTCAAACAACTACCCTTGTTTCACATCAAACATCATATAGAAGTTGGAGAAATACTCCTGTACACACTATTATTATTGTTTTATACTCCTTTGTAAAAAAGAAAAAAATTATAATTATTAAATTTGTTAGCTGCCATTTTGCACTACTTTGTACATCGTTACTAAGAAAATAAAAAGCACCGCTATCTTGTACATCGTTACTAAGAAAATTAAGAGTACCGCTATCTTGCACATCGTTACTAAGAAAATAAAAAGCACCGCTATCTTGTACATCGTTACTAAGAAAATAAAAAGCACCGCTATCTTGTACATCGTTACTAAGAAAATTAAAAGCACCGCTATCTTGCACATCGTTACTAAGAAAATAAAAAGTACCGCTGTCTTGTACATCGTTACTAAGAAAATAAAAAGCACCGCTATCTTGCACATCGCTACTAAGAAAATAAAAAGCACCGCTATCTTGTACATCGTTACTAAGAAAATAAAAAGCACCGCTATCTTGTACATCGTTACTAAGAAAATAAAAAGCACCGCTATCTTGTACATCGTTACTAAGAAAATAAAAAGCACCGCTATCTTGTACATCGTTACTAAGAAAATTAAAAGTACCGCTATCTTGCACATCGTTACTAAGAAAATTAAAAGTACCGCTATCTTGTACATCGTTACTAAGAAAATAAAAAGCACCACTATTATTGGGATGACACAGGAGATCTTGTGATTTTTGATGTTATGCAAAAATTATATCACGTGGTATTGGCAACATATATTTGCAAATGAAAATTTTAAAATAAGTAATACATTTCCACACAAGTCTAAAATATGCTGCAAACCATAATTCGAGTGAGGAATGCATTTTATTTACTTTATATAATAGTTATATTCCTGGCTTATTGCATAACTTTTATCTTCAACAAATGGAGTGTAGTAGATTTTGTTCATTAAAAAAACAAAATGTTATTTTACCAGTCATAATTATCGAGGAGATCAAAAAGCATCTTATTCTACTTATGAAATGCGTATACCTTATAAGAGATATGATATAACCCTATGTGTTTGTGCTTTATGAAGATAAAACTAAGACCAGTCATAAGTATGAAGATTTTAAAAAATAAAATAAAAAGTTGCATTATGCTAATACATTTATTATTTGACATGCATTTTATTACAATTTCTAAATAATAAATGTTTTCCTTTGCATGTAAGGGTCCAAATAAAGACAAACTAATTTTATATAGTGGGGTTTTTTAAAAATAATTAAAAAATAAATAAATTTAAAAACAACAACAACAACAACCATAACCATACAAAACATGTAATTTGTGGAGATTTTTCAGAAAAGCTGAACGGAAAAATGTGACTGGCAATGAGGCCAAAAAAGTGCTAAAATCCATTAAGCAATGGAGTGAAACATAGTTGAGAATAAGTTCGGTAGCTAAGGGGTTAATATGGTAAGCACCTGGTCTCAAGCATAAGGCATACCTGAGAGCTAGCTTAATAGAGGGCATACAGAAGGGCATAAGGAAACTTAAAAACATAGGAACTTAGAAAATGTAGAGCAAGGCTGACAAGCATACAGCCTGCGGAGCCGATGAATTGAACTGACAAATACTGCACTGCATTACAATTGCAACATTACTTACAAGTGCACCTTTTTATTGCTGTAAACACATTTATGATATTATGTGAAGTTATTCTATGTGCCCGCTTTGTTTCCTGTTTGCGTGTTCGTGTATATAGAAATGTTATGCATTCGGCCCTCCATACCTATTTCAGTGGACAATTTTCCCCTCCAGAACAAATGATTTGACAATCCTGCTGTAGGGCATTAGAAAACAGAACAAAGTGGGAACTTGATGCCCAGATATGTATGTTTAAATCATTACAACGTCAATAACCGAAATAAAACAAACGTTTAAGCAAGACAATGGAAAATAGTATGGAGAGAAAGGCCAAAGTATCTGGTGGTATCACTCTAGATTTGGATCGGCAGCATGAGGCAGATAATCAGTAACATAATGTTAGAAAATGAATGGACAGAGGCTGCATGGATCAATACCTGTCAGCATGCCACAACAAGACTGGAAAACTCTCACTCAGATTTAGGAATATTAAGTTAAGAATAGAGACATCTTCTAAAGTCACACTGTCTGTTGCTCTATGATTGGCTAATGGCTATAACAATCACAATTCTCTATAAAACTGTCAGTGAACATATACTGTTCAATGGCTGCCAGATATCATCACCAGAGACAGATCAGTGCAACCCCTAACAGCCTTACCGTGGACAGCGAACAGGAGCTGGAAGAGCAACAAGCCAATAAGCCAATATGATGAGGTGGGGGAAAGGAGCATTTTCTAAAGAGCCTGCAACATTATATTCTCAAAAGGGAGATTATCAAAGCGTTCTGTTCAAAAAAGACTACCTCCCAACATTTTAAATGCACAAAGAAGGACACTTTAATTTCAGATGGATCAGTGGGGGTGTGGCCAAGGGGCATGGTAAATTTTAAGTGAATTACTAATAATTTATGCAACTAAAATGTAATATAGAGAACACTTTTCCTCATTAAATTAGCCACCATTCTTTCTCTCTTTCTAATTTTTTCCTTCTTTATCTTCAATATACTCTACTCATACATGTACATAGTTACCCCCTCACCCACCCTGACATTATCACTAAATTTAACTCTTGCCGGAATATCATTGCCTGACACGGCCTCTTCTGTAGCTATCCCTCATCGACATTACACATAGAATACATGTGAAAAAACCCACCGGGATTTCAGGGTTTTCTCTGAGCATTCGTCTATTTGGTTTATTTGTTTATTTTATGCCACCTTGGTTCGGTAGATTGAAACTACCGAACACCGACCACCCTCCTGGCTCATTGACTTCAAAGGAACCCGTCAATTAAGCGCTCTCTTGGTGGCCGCCATTCGAATATACGAATGTCACGTGGCGGAGAAAACGGCGGCCCTCTTGTTTGTTCGGGACAAAGGCAGCGGGACTTGGTAGTCATGTGTCTGAACTAAAATCGGACACTTGACTTCCCGAACACCGGTCTCAAACATATGAACGATGGAACTTTATTTCCCGAACAGCTAGGAGAGCGCTTTTCGGTACTTTGATGTATTGATATGAGGGGAACAATCGCTCCTATGAGCCAGGAGGCTCCGTTCGTGGATTATGGAGTTATTTGACATTTTCAGAATTGACCAACGGTAACTTAAGACTTCCACACTTTTTAAGAACCTCTGAACCGATCTGGGTGAAATTTGAATATGTTGTTCCCCCAGATCGGGGCTATCAGGAGATATGACATTTGTGGGGATACCTTAAGCATAAAGGGGTGTTCTGAGTTTTGGGGAAAATGTTTGCACTTCGCTTTGAGATAATTGGGTTATCTCATTATCTCACAGGCGGAGACAGGGAGTGTATCTTATGATTCTCCATTTGGTTTGTGTACTGTGGGAGGTCCTCCTGCAAGGGGACCTCCATAAAAGCCTGTGTGGTCTCAATAAACATGATTACTGTTACACCCTTCATCATGTTTCGGCTGGTGTCTGGGTACCTGATTGCTACTGGGGAAAGCTACACTAGAGGATTTCGTGGCTTTGGGATTTAAACTACCAAATAGAGGAACCGAACGGCGAACTATAATCACTCAGGCTCTCTGCTGTTCGGCTCAAATCATACGAACCCCTAGCTACCACTTCAGGGTTCCTTACAATTCACTAGGGAGAAGTACAGCTGAAATTCACCCACATGAGACTGGCATGCACACCCCTACTATAATCCCCACCATTGTTCTATTAACAATTAGATTTTTCTTATGGTTTAGGCAGCACTCACAACCCTACACCCCCTTTCTCCCACACGGTCCCTAATTATCACATCTGTACAGTGTAAATGAGTAGACAATTGGTTAGCACCCTCCTGCTTATTGTGTACAGTATGACTGACTCCAAAGACAAAAAGTGATACTCAAGGCTCTGATATTATTATGCAAACTGGGTTTCCACAACTCGCCAACTAGCTAACCTTAACAGGGCCATTTGTACTGACACCTTCGAAACCTATACTCTCTGCCTCAAGTTACACACAGTATGTACGGACAATTGTCAACTGTACCACAATTCATTGTATACTCTTCATCTTTTAGTTAACTTTGGCACATTGTTAATCGCTACTTATTCTTCACTGTATGTTTAAAATCTTTATTAAAATAAATTAAAAAAAAAATTTAAATGTAATATCGAAGAACAATGTATATTATTTACAGTGTTTTCTAAACATATTTATTTTAGTTTAAAGACACATTACTGTGAGTATTATTGCTGTGGAGCTTTGGTATCAATTCAGGTGAATCAATGACAATAAGATTCTAGAAAAGAGTGACATTGGAACTGAAAAGAGGGATAGAGGTATTAGTGACGGTTCCTTCTAAACAGGGACACTTGGTAGTATTATAAAAGTAATGCAAACATGTAAAAGGAGAGAAATCAACAACTGAATGTGTCTGCAGCTTTTATACGTTTCTATGGTGATTGACAAATGTTAGAACTTCAGATAACTTTTTAGAACAGATCACTCTGATAAACCCCTGCAATAGTTTGATGCTAAACTGGAAGAGAGCTGTGGCAGAGTCTGATGTCATGCGTGAATTCCTTAATAAACATTGAAAAGTTTAGTTTTAAAACTGAATGGTGCAATTTCTACATTACATTTTTTTTATTTTACCATGTAAGCAGTCTATCTATGGAAAAAGATAACCTAAGTAAGCAAATATATAAAAAAAAATGTGTATTAGTAAGGGATAGAAGAGAAGCCCTAGTGATGAATGCATGGTAACATGAAATATTTACAATTTTAAATGGCTTATACTCACATTTTAGAGCACTGAAAGCCAGTTCGTAAGACCAGCGTTGAGATTTCTCATCGGTGAACTCTGGAATGGAATGTTCCAAATCATTGGCATATTTCACCAGGATCCGATCTGGAGGTCTCTTTATGTGAATATTCTGGAAGATTTTTGCTGCATTGATAAACACATGGTCAGGATAGTTCACCTTGTCTGTCAGGTATGATAGACTCCGCACTATTGGCTCTGCAGTGCTTGACAGAGTCATCATGCTTGAGTCTGGAACTTGTCCTGCAAGTAAGCTGCTTGAATGTGCCAAGTCCAGACTATTTCGAAGGTTTGGCATGACTAGATATCAAAAGGAGCATGCAAAACAAAAGCCTTGAAGGACGCCGCAACCTGAGGAAAAAGAAATACATAAATAAATACATTGTCAAACCCCATAACATATTTAACTTAGATGTAAAATAAACTAAAAATTAAAGGGACACTCCAGGCACCAATACAACACAAATGCATTTAATAGATTTGGCATAATTAATATTTTTTTTTATTTTTTTTGCATGCTTAAATCTTTATAGTTTTTTTCACAAAGCATTTTTTTTTTCAGAATGCTGCACCATAAGCCTACCTCCTTAGTCAAACACCCTCATGCCAGAAAGACCTCCTTATCAAATGTATGCTCACAGTTTGAAGCCCAACAGTGACTGGCATATTGGAAGGTGAAAAATAGAAGTTCCTGATCTGCAATAGATATAAAAATTTTGGTTCCTCTTCATTCAGTATCAGCTGACTCTTTCAGCTAATGAATTCTGTCCAAAGAAGGATGGAGCTGATATGCTAAAGTTAAAGGGGAATTTCCACTTTAGCAAAATCTAGAAAGAGGGGCAAGACCTAAAGCACCTGGCAGACCCACGTAAATATTAAACCATTTAAAATCTGTTTGACTCTTAACAGTGTGACAGAAGCTTGGGGAATCCTGACTCTACAACCTACATAGTAGCATGTAGTGGTTATGGTGCTTAGAGTGCTGGCTTACTCTTGCTGTATGGAGACATCCATCTTTAAATTCTCTTTGGACAAAAGAAACACTTATTAGCCAAGACCAAACTGATGAAATTGACTTGGAGCATGTTGTGAGATGCCTTTGCTTGCACAGGATATTAGATTGTGTTACTGTGCATTAGCTATTAGTTAACTATGCATTACGCTCTAAGCTGTGTTTCTGATCAAAGAGTGCTTAAAGATGGCAGCCTTCATTGAGCATGCGAAAGGCAGTTGTAAAACCTAAATGTGTTGCATACAGGTATTACATATATATGCAACTCATGTATATGTATGTGTGTGTGTGTATAAAATTATTTGCAACTCATTTATATATACACACATAATATATATATATATACACACACACACACATCTACAAAAATACCGGCACTCCAAGCTTTTAAGCTTTTCATTCAGGTAAGTTCTTTATTTGACAAATTCCAGCAAGTCAACGTTTCAGTCCCTCTAGGGAACTTTCATCAGGACATCACAACTGTGTATATATATATATATATATATATATATATATATATATATATATATATATACACACACACACACACACACATACATTAATTACAAAATCAGCTCAGCGCAATACCCACATAGTTACGTGATTAACAAATGCACCATGTTCAAAGAAGAGTACCTACATCCAATAATTATGTTGTCATTCAACATTAAAATTAACAATTTGTAATAACTTGCCCTACCTCAAGGGAAAGTTTGTTCCAAATATATAAAAATAATTCTCAAAATAAAAGCCTGGTTTGCATATAACAGGTCACAGAATGTATAATTTGTCATGACAAAGACATTTTTCTTGGAGATCAACCGCGGCATCTGTGATTGGGATTTCAAATGAAATCAAAGGCCCATAAATGTCATTGCTTATTCATATTTAATGTTCTCAGATACTAAAGGATAAAACGGGAGAAAGCAATATTAAAACCACACTCTTTACTTCTGCTCTAGAAAGCTTAGGGGTGACATTAAATAGTAAAGAGATAATCTACTGAAAGAGCAAAGCAAAACAGAAACTTGAAAATGGCTTGTTATGGAATAGAATATATAGTACTGTACTTTATTGTAAGACATGTAATGTTTGAAAGTGAATTCTGTTATATTGTTTTGTGAAAACTTCATTAGAACAGAAATATCATATGTGAGATATATCAACGTGAGCTGTGTTTTGTGCTAGTTTTTTCGACATTTTTTATTTTCACTTTGTACCGTGTGCTTCCTCCAGGGTTTTCCCTGTGTGGGCCGGCTAAAATATGTATTCACACAAAGCTGACCTGCCAGTAATGTGGGACAGATACACCCCCTTAAGTGCAGGCCTGCCTACTTTTTGGGGGAGCCAGTGATGCCACCGGAGTCCCGGTTCCCAGACTGCAGATGTTGGGAGGTATGTTTACAGGACTGAAAACTGTCACTTACAGAGAAGTTATTAAGAGGGTTATTCACTAAAGTGAGAATTCAAAGTGAATTTCCTATGAAAAGCTAAAGGAGCCGAATGAAGATGCACAATTGCTGAAATTTACAAAATGTATATATTTATGTCCAGTCACGCAGTATACAAGATGACTAGTATATTTTTAGATAGGGTTGCCACTTAGCTCACATTTTCCTTGACTATGTTTGGCTATAATTCTAGCAGGGAATGTCACTAGCCTTCCTTGACAGGAGATGCAATCCCCCGATACCTGGAGCCTGATGGTAAGCCTGGACCAGTATTGTCATAGACAGATGTCTTAGTGGCATCTACAGCGCGTGATCAACTTATGTGCTAATTACTAACAGGGCTGGGCAGGACTCTATGATCCCTCCCCCCACACCTGGCCCCAAAGCTCCCTAACCCTCCTCACAGCAAAAAAATGAAACTTTAATCGGAACCTTCAAATTTAGACAGACAGAACATTGTACAAGAAGCACAAGCACAGTCTTACCCAAGGCAACACATCTACAGCAAACCTATTCCCACTGCAGAGGCCGTGAGAGGGAGATCTGTCAGTATGAAGCAGGGAGGAGATTGCATGGGCAGCTTGGAGTTTTCTGACAGATGGATCACAAGTCAGCAACCAGCTCCTGGCAACTAGGGAGCCAGGAACACACATCTTTTAAAACAGTGACTGATTCGATTCTGACACTGTGACAAGGTGGCACCACTGCATCACTTTCAGGGAGACTGCCTGAAGCGGAGTGTGTGATTTTCTCCACCTGAGTAGTAGTCATTAAGCCTTCTCGTATATGGATGCAATGCATGACCATGAAGCTGCAATGCATTCCATACCCCTGCCCCATGGTAAATGGTGGGGCCCAGGGCATGTACCCTTTTTTCCATTTAATAAAGATGGCCCTGGTCACTAGAATCACATTCAGCGTAACAGAGATGGCACATGTCCTTATGGACCACTAAATGCACCCAGACCTCTTCATCTCAATTAAGTGGTCTGGGTGAAAAGACCCTGTAGTATTAACCCTGTGATATAAAAGTTTTGTAGAAACGTCAATGCTTCAATTGCAGAGTTAAGCACACCTCTAGTGGTTGTCTTTCAGATCGCCGCTAGAGGATCCTTCTGTGCAACAACAATTAAAACTCCATCACGTGTCGTTGACATCCATGAGGATGTCAAACATCATAAAATGCATTGAATTCAATAGTTTCCTATGTGAAGTATTTGATTGGAAACGTGTGTGGCACTTGCCGCGCATGTGCCTCTTGCCTCTATGAGGAGCATTGGTTTGGACGATCAGCGGGGATATGATGCCTCCACAATGACGTTGTTAAAGGTGGCGCAGGCTGCAGCACAGAAGGAGTCTTGGCACTGAACAAAAATGTAATATATGTCTAGGGCACTCTAGGGTTAGAAACAGGCCTGTATTCCTAACACTATAGTGTTCCTTTAAAGGAACTGAGCAGGCCAAAATCCCTCAGCAACCAGTATAGTTGTAGAAGGATCAGGCAGACAGAAATTTGAATGGCAAGAATATTTCAAATAAAGCAATGTTACAGTTCACAGAACACAAAACCTTACTCAAGCCTGGCCTGAGAAAGACTCAAAACATTGCTTTGTCTGCAGTAAAATTACTGCTTGCACACCTGTGAGCCTGATCCTTCTATATTCTAGATTAAGGACTGTCCGATTGACAGTCTTCTGCTTGGGATACAGTGGGGAGTTCATCACTTACCACCAGTGGTATGTTTTATAAAGACCTCAGGGGTATTCATAGTCTCTAAACAAGTGTCGCTCCACCAGTATATCATTCCACACTAAAAGCACTCTGTACAATTTCTTCATATTTTGATCTGATAAATGATCTCATTACAAAGTAAAAGCGCTCTGTACGATTCCTACATGTTTAGTTCTAATAAACTAGTCATGGTTCAGCAGACAGTCAGACCTGAGAGGCCTTCTGTTACCAGTATTATTATTAAAATACAAGGCTTCTACTCTGAGATATGCCAAAGATGTATCTAGGAGAAATGGAGCATAACACCAGCTAGAGCTTTCCCACAATTGACTAAGGTGCAGGGTCATGAAAGTGGATTATTTAGTCAGCCCAGCTGTCACAGTAATAGCAGAGTAATAATTTAGGTTTGATTACTGTGGCGTTGCAAACATTTGGTACAAATTGAAATGCTATAGAGTTTGTCAGGTGAAACGTTCCCTGATATCCGTGAAGCTAAAACTATTTTATAGTATGCAGTCACTGATGTTTACTAATCTGAGCTTGCTAATGAAATGAAAAGGGCAAATCCAGTGATCTTTGGTGAATGACCATATCTCCTGAGTATGGGAGGTATGGAATTGGCATTGGGTGGGCAGGCTTAAAGGGGACAGATTTAAAGTGCATTTGCAAAATATGTGCACAAGCTTTATGAAGGTAAAAATACAAAAAATCTGCAATATTTACCCACTGGAAGTTCAACCCGGCAATGTAAAGGAACAATATAGGGTCTGGAACACAAACATGTATTCTTGACACTATATAGTTAAAAACACTACCAAGCCCCTCTGCCAAGGGGTTAAAAACACTACCAAGCCCACTGCCAAAGGGTTAATTACACAACCAAGCATCCACCCCCTCCCCCACGCCCCACATAAATATAGTCAAATAGTCAATTCTTACCTTTATTACAGCCTGCTACTGTTGCAGGCTTTGCCCCTGAGCTGCCTGCTTTTCTGATATAATCAGATGTGTTGATCAAAGCCAATCACAATGAGACTGTCAAGGAGGCAGACCAGGGGCAGAGCCAGCACAAGCCAAACACACCCCTGGCCAATCAGAATCTCCTCATAGATCAATGCATCTTTATGAGAAAAGTTTAGTGTCTCCATGCAGAGGGTGGAGAAACTGAATGGTAGTGCAGCACTGCCACAGGGAGCACCTTCAGTAGCCATCTGAGGAGTGGCCAGTGGATGTATCCCTAGGCTGTAACGTAAACACTGCATTTTCTCTGAAAAGACTGTGTTTACTGCAAAAAGCCTGAAGTGAATGATTGTACTCAACAGAACAAATTCAATAAGCTGTAGTTGTTCTGGTGACTATAGTGTCCCTTTAAGTCCGTGGGCAAATTTAAAAAAAGATATAAATAATAAAATGAAACAGACATCCCCAAACCCTCTACTAAGCTGGACGGGATCTGGAAATATGATTTCTTGAAGCCCTCACACCAATGCATCAAATACTAGTGGTGTTTCATTGAAATTATTTGTGTCGCAAAACTGCATATTTGCCTACAAATAACTTGAGCACACTTTACTCCATAGTATGGACTTTCCTAATCAGTGGCAGAAAACCATGCATTCTGGAAATAAAACCCAGCTGCAATGTAAGGCAGAGAGCCAGTAACAACAAACAACAAACCACAAAGTAACGGCATACAATTACAATATACACAGTAACTGAAAAGAATGGATTAATTGTGCCTGTACATAGTTATGTATTAGTCTGTGTCAGTTCCAAAAAGTACATTTTTTATTTAACTTACGAAAGTAAATTGGGGTTACATCTAATTGCAACAGAAGAAAGCCTTAAATGATCAAAGAAGTACTATAGGAAGCCTATACACTATAAATATGCAATGCAAAATGTATTAAGCAACATAGTTACTTCAATTAAATATGCTCGGTTTTCTGCCACAAGCCAAACTGACATTGATGCACTTTAAAGTGACATTACAAAAATGTGTACCACGCAAAACAATGTAGAGTTAAATCCACCTCTAATGGTTGTCTTCCTGCCAGCCACTAGTAAAACATGTCTGGGAATTAAATATTGCTGATAGCTGCATTGGTTGGAGAAGAGCAGTGTTTTTGTGCACATTCGCTCTCCAGTCCAATGCTTGGATTGGATGAGATCGTGGGTGATGTCAGCATGCTTGCTGACATCACCGGAGACAGCAGCAGAGGAGCCCTAGCGCTGGAAACAAGGTGGATAATCTTTATTTAAAGGACCACTATAGTGCCAGGAAAACATACTCGTTTTCCTGTCACTATAGTGGCCTGAGGGTGCCCCCACCCTCAGGGTCCCTCTCCCGCCCGGCTCTGGAAAGGGGAAAGGGGTTAAAACTTACCTTTTTCCAGCGCTGGGCGGAGAGCTCTCCTCCTCTGATCCTCCTCTTCTCCCCCATCGTCGGCTGAATGCGCACGCGGCAAGAGCTGCGCGCGCATTCAGCCGGTCACATAGGAAAGCATTCATAATGCTTTCCTATGGACGCTAGCGTGCTCTCACTGTGAAAATCACAGTGAGAAGCACGCAAGCGCCTCTAGCGGCTGTCAATGAGACAGCCGCTAGAGGAAATAGGGGAAGGCTTAACCCATTCATAAACATAGCAGTTTCTCTGAAACTGCTATGTTTATGAAAAAATCGGTTAACCCTAGCTGGACCTGGCACCTAGACCACTTCATTAAGCTGAAGTGGTCTGGGTGCCTAGAGTGGTCCTTTAACTTAACTTTTACAGGACAAACGGGGTGGACAGTAGTGAACCAATAATCCTGAAATAACCATAGGTTGCCTTTAACCTCATATTTATTCCAGTCTCCTCACTACAGCTCTGATCATCCTTGTGTCCAATCATAGAGAAGCATTGGGAAACGCTAACAATGCTTCTCATAGAGAAGCACTGAAACCATAGCATATCTATGAGAAACACTTGATCCCAGCAGGAAACCTTCCCAGTTTCACACAGGGGATTTAATGAAAGTGCTGACTTCTCTGGAAATGTGTACTTTTATCAATAAAGCTTGCAGTAAAAAATGACATTCACAGTTAGAATCCCATGCAGAACTTGGAAAATAAAATTTCTTAATCTCTCAAACCTTTTTAGATTTTATTCATATTACAGTATACATACACAAATGTTTGATGTGAAATAAAAGCTCTGTTTCTCCTGAACAAAATTATATATAATAAGTGTAGATGCACTTAGCCCCTGAAGAACATCAGCAAGCTGGATTGTTTTAGAGAAACCACAGAATGAAGCTGAGCCAATTTTAATAAAGCATGTAGATAAAATATAACAATTGGAAATAAAATAAATAAATAGTAATAATAGTGATAAAACAAAGCATACTCATCCCTGAGGTTTCTCTTCTTTAGATATTCTCCCATGATACTGATCATTTAGGCAGAAACAAGAAGGGGGCAGAAAAAATTCAAGCATTTAGAGCCTCACCCATGTTAACGTAGGAGAACTACAAGTTCAATGCAAGAATGTGGCGTTACACACATGCAACATTTTTGATGTTGCACAAGCTCACTATATTACAGTGCTTTCCTATGGGAAGGACCTGAACATCTAAAGAAATTCAGTTTGCTGAAATGCTGCGTTAAAAGTGCACTCTCTTTTTATTTTTATTTTTTTTTTACAAAAAAAGTGCTTCTTTCACTTTGTTTGAACCTTGTTACAGCCCCCTGGCTGTCAAACAGCTCAGTGGAGCTAAACTCAAGAGGCAGCAATTGCCCAGAGCACCGGCCTTGCAGAGTCTTCTCATTGAGCTGCACTGGGCATTCAGTCATAGAAAGCCTGGGCGGGGTTAGAAGGGGAGGGCTTGGAAATGCTGCAGACAGCTTTTGCAAGCTGTGTGTAGATATACCCACAATAAAAAATGTTTTACATTCATGCATGTTTTCATCACTTCCTTTTAAAGTGAATAATAACACTGTCAAAGCATGGAATTCTCTATTGCAGGTATGCGGCTTTAAAAATAAAATCATATGAATCTACTCTATTTCTTAGTTTTTTCAAGGCATTGGACAGGGGTACAGGGAGAGCTATTCAGACAGTTAATCGTGATTTTGGTCCACTATGGGAAGAATTTAATTGGGTGTATCACATTGCATACACTGAATATATTAAAACAAATCCTTAAAAATATTTAAAAGTGCAAGAAGTCTCTTTTTAAGGACAGAAATACTCCAAAAAAAATAAAATAACAGAGATTTGTCAGTCTTACTATGTTGTAAAGTAGAAAAAAGGATTAACCAAAAAGAAATCATAGGTTAATGCAAAAATGTAGCCCAAAAATAATTCTAGGTAAAATTACTTTTACAAGATGTGTAGATTGTCCCACTACTAGTCATTTCACTGTGTCCACTTGCTATCGGTGCATTATAAATCACTTTTGTATCCGTTTATGCAGCCCTAGCCACACGTACCCTGGCTGTGAATCACACAGTCAATAGGAATTATTTTTTTTTTTTCATTTTCAATCGGATGTGAAAGCGCACTGTGTTTACTTTTAGACATTTTTTTCTCTTGAACTGTAATCACATGCAGGAGGCTCTAGCAGGCTATTAGCAAGGTAGGAGAGAAAAAAATTCTAAATTAAACAGACTGTTCAATATAGGTAGATCACATGCAGGGTGATATGGCTAGGGTGGCATTAACAAAGTGATTTAACTCCTAAATGGCAGAGAATTGAGAAGTGGGACTGCAGGCGTAAATCTGTACACTTAACCTGCTTTATTAAGCTAGCGTATAGTGTCACTTTAAATGGGTTAATGTTTATATGGCATATTACCATTATATTACAACGGACTACTACTTAATTTTGCAAAACTTTTTTTTATTTATTTATAAATCAACAGTTAAATTAACCGGACATAATGTACTCATTTACACTTATGAACAAAATACATATGTATCAATCTGATTACGGTTCATTTATAACAGTGATGTGAAATAAAAGTTTGATGTGAAATAAAAGCGCTGTTTCTCCTGAACAAAATTAAATATAAGTGTAGGTGCACTTAATATAAAAGAGGTAAATTTTGGTTGAACAGACATATAGCTCAAATTCCAGGTTTTGTTTTGGTTCAGAACTTGTACAATTGCCTCTGTCGTTAAGGGGTTAATATTAGTATCTCGGATTGTTAGGTGGCTGGCGGTCCTTCAACAGCATAAGTTAAAAAAACTGAAGATAAAGTTAATGTAGACAAAAGCTCTTTACTGTTCGGTCAGTGATTAAAATCTCCATTCTTTTGTCATGTAAAATTAAAACAATTTAAAATTTCCACATATAGCAGAAAAGGTGTAGTTGCCAATTACTCCATGAGTATACACGTTTTGTGCAGGTAGTACTTTCTCAAGACCCCAAGACATCTATGCTTTAACCTTATTAATCTACCTCCCCTACACCATACATATGTTGTGATTCTAATGTATGTGTAAGGAGACATCTTTTTACAATTCATTTCTCAAACGTACTTTTTTAAGATTGCTGTCCCCCATGCAGATATTTAAAATTACACTAACGCTCTTAACAGGGACAAATCTTATACATGCTGAAGTCACAGTTTGAGAATTACACAAATTGAGATGCTAACAACAGCGAGGACTATTTATCAACCTGTGAATTGCGCAATGTCACAACAATCTCCAATCCTGATACAAAATTGCCATTTATCTGTTTACTAAAGGCAGTGTGGATGCAACGTTTTAGAACAGCTCTGACCATGAAAATTCTATTTGGAGCTATGTTTGTGTAACTTTAAAATGAGAAATGAAAAAAAAGTAAAAACATTTTTTTTTATATAAAGTATACTTTGTTACAAGATTTAGCAAACACTAAACTCTGTCCAGATTAGTTTTCAACTTGCACATGTGAGTGCAGAATCGGAGATTTACATTTGCTGAGTTTTTCAAATGCCATCTCAAATAATACATAATAAAATTGATAACAATAATAGTAACCATAATAAAGCTGGGACCCCCCACCTCCCCCAGCAACATGCACTAAATATGCAGTATGTATTGACCAATTCTGACACAGCAGGAGTTTATAAACTAATAATAATACTAACATGCTGTCTATCCTGAGGACTGGCTGACAGTCTGAATATAAGATGTGGGATGGAATACAGAGATTTTGGGTTATGATTATACACTATACTGGATACTGTTTGTAGCTGCTGTGGACTGTGGCTCTCAGGATGCTCAGTCACATAGAAGGCTGGCTGAGCGTGCTGAGAGCTGTGTCCATAAATCAATCACATCCCAGCCCACTGCTCTCACCTGCTGCCCTCCCGCGCTGTGGTTGTGGTCCGGCTGGCTGGCTGTCTCCCTCCCGCGCAGTGGTTGTGGTGTCAGTAGCCGCTCGGCTGCCGGGGTGCAGTCAGTGTGTGTGAGGAGGAGTGCGGTACCCGGCTGGGACAGGCAGGGGGCGGGGCGACCAACACCCCTCCGCAGGAAAGCGGCTAGGAGTCGCTATGGCAACCAGGTAGCGCATGGAAAAACTAAGAGGAGTGATGCGCGGCCTCCGGGCGGTGGGCGTGGTTATGATGTGGGAGTAGGGCTGGCTCACTGTCATACCCAGCCAGCTCTAATAGTTCTAAGAGGGGGCTTTGACTACCCTGTCTGTTACCATGGTAACCCTCTGTTACCCTTTTTTGTTTTTTAAACAGTTTTTCTTGGAAGGGGATGGATATTTGTAAATACAACTGAGATCATTTTTAGTCTTTAATGTCTCCCTTAGGAGAGGGTAAATGTTGGGATATTGTTTACAGGATAAGTTCAATAGATCATGTAGTGTAATAATAATCTAATAATATTATTTAATATCCCTGGTGTAAATCACTTTTAACAGGTCATGTTGTGGATTTGTCAATATGTCCCGAGGGAAGTCAAGGTGGGCCGGGATATTCAGAATATTACTAAAGTGATCATAGTACCGATTATAGAGAAAGCAATATATTGCTGGTGCTGCTGTTCAGCTCTTTGGTGCCCCATCATACCGGTGCCCAGTGTCAACATTAACCCCACCATGTCTTTGGGGTCCACTCCTCTTAGTATCACACTGAAAGAGACACCTCTCCAGTGGCGTATACACGATCCATGGGGCCTGGGTGCAAAAACTAATCCGTGCCTGCCGGGGGGTTACACCGCGCGGGCCGGGGCTGCAACACATGGCGGCGGACACCCGGTCACAGGGGTCAGCAGGGCGGCCAGCCCCCTGGAGTAACGGGCCCGGTTGCTGCTGCGACCCCTGCATCTCTCTATTACAAAATAAATAGTACATCCCAATAATACCTAACATTCGCAGGGCAAATGGTTAGAGTTAGGACCCACCTAAGAGTTCTGCCTTGACGTGGCAGGTGGGCATACCCTCTCATGGCCATTGGAGGTAACTAAAAACCTCTATTTGTTTAAAAATACCTATGGATGTGGAAAGAGTGCAGGTAACTTTTTTCTTTGGTTTTTTACTATATGTATTTTGGCTGATGTGTACTATAGTCATTGCTGCCGCCCAGGAGTAATGGGAGTTTGAGCGCAGGACTAGTTTCTTTGTATTTGTAATACCTAACATGTACATGAAAGGCTCCAAGCACCATAACCACTGCAACATGCTGTAAGTAGTCAGACCGTTTGCTAGCAGGGGTCCATTGGAATATTCCCAAGTGTATTATTGTAAATGGGGTAAGTAGGGACATTTAATTGGGGATGGATAGAGGTCTGGAGCCTTAGTTATCTGCGGTTTAAACATTGACTACCTCTCCACGGGGTGTCTAGTGGTCTCAGATCCATGGCCTACCTTGCCCCTTATAATAACATTTGATAGCCATTGGGAGGGCAAATATAAAAAATAAACATGTAAATATATTTTTGACGGTTTAAGTCTTCATTAAAGACTTCTTTCTTTTAGTTTCTGTCTTCAGCCACCAAAATGGACACACAATTTTTTTTTAAAAAGAAAATCTGAATCCCAGGAACACTGCCAGAAAAATTTAAATGGCAATGATAAAAATAAAAAAAGTCTATAATTTTTACTTAGGTGGACAAGAGACATGGCATTTCCTGATGCCTGCATTAATCCCATGGGGCTAGGAGACTGGGCATCTCCTGGTCCCTTTGTCACGATTAACCCTAGTAGGGTTAGCATGATTGGCCAGGGATACCTTCACAGCATCATTGTGACTCTTTGTGATAATATTTAGTAAATGGTACACAGGGTATTATCAACAATGGCAAAAGAAAGGAAAGCTAAATTAAATAAGTGTGTTTTGTTTTTTTTAAATACGAAAATGGTTCCAGATAGTAGGGATGTGCATGGGCAAAAAAATTGGTTTGGAAATTCAGATAAGTAAAAAAATTTGGCACTTCAGCCTACCCCTAACCACCACAACCACTTAGACATCTATAGAGCTTCCAGTGCCATGAATTAGCGTATTGGTCAAGTTCCTGTCATCATTCATGTAATTTCCCCTTCCTCGTTTTGCCAATTTTCAGAAATCCTAAGCACTTTGGCACTTCCGAAATTCAGCAATTCGGCGCTTCAGCAATTTGGTCCGGTTCAGCAATCCGGAAATTCGGGCTTCGGCACTTCGAAGTTTGCAATTGGAAGCATCCGAATTGCACGAAATTAAACGATTTGCACATGTCTACCAGATAGCAATTCCAGCATGGATGCCAAGGACCACAGGCAGGGCCGGATTAACATAGGGGCTGATGGAGCTTCAGCTCCTGGCCCATGGATAGGCCCATTGATTTAAAATTTTTTTTTTAAAAATTAATATATATATATATATTTTTTTTATTCACTACTCTTAGGGTTGCCAGGTATTTCTCATATATCTCTACATAATGCTGCTCCCACCTATCTATCCTCCCTTATACACAAGTATGTCCCGTCTAGGCCCTTACGATCTGCTGAAGACTTATGTCTATCTTCTGTCCGTACTCCCACCTCTGATGCTCGCCTTCAAGATTTCTCGAGGGCTGCACCGTTCCTGTGGAACTCGCTTCCTCCTCCGTTAGATGCTCACCCAGTCTCCACTCCTTCAAAAAATCGTTAAAAACCCACTTCTTCATAAAAGCGTATCAATTAAACTGTTAATAGCTCCTGACTGATTCCTCTTCTGAAACTGTCACTAGTCTAATACTATCCTTACCTTTTTGTGTCATTTTACCCCACTCCCTCTAGCATGTAAGTTCATTGAGCAGGGCCCTCAATCCCTCTGTTCCTGTGTGTCCAACTTGTCTGGTTACAACTACATGTCTGTTCGTCCACCCATTGTAAAGTGCTGCGGAATTTGACGGCGCTCTATAAATATCATAATAATAATAATAATAATATGGTTGCCAGGTATTTCTCAGAAGTATTTCTCAGGTATTTGAGGCTGCCTAGCCGGTGCGGGTATTGCAGTAATAAACAGAGTATAAAGAGAGATTATTCTGCAATACCAGCGCCGGCCAGTAGGGAGCAGCTGTTTGTGTGGAGAGAGGCAGGGATAAGAAGTTACAGCATCTCCCTCCCTGCCTCTCTCTACTCACTGATCCGCAGGGGAGCAGCTCTGCACAGAGAGGCCAGACAGCAGCACCGAGCCTGCGAGACATGGGGGTGGTGAGAGACTTGGGGATGTTGAGACATTTGGACACTGGGAGACATAGGGACAATGGGGAACATGGGGACCCTGAGACACTAGGGACACAGTGGCCATATGTCTCCCAGTGGCCCCTAGTCTCTCAGTGTCCCCATGTCTCTCAGTATCCCCATGTCTCCCAGTGTCCCTGTTGTCTCTCAGTGTCCCTAGGTTTATTGAACACCGCAAAGTTTTGACCTGTACCCAGGTCTTTATCAAGTCTTCAGTGTCCCCTATATATCACAGTGTCCCCTATGTATCACATTGTATCAGTGCACCATGTCTCCCAGTGTCCCCTCATGTCTCAAAGTCACCCAGTGTCCCCATGTCTCCCAGTGTCCCCAAGAGTCTCAGTGTTCCCAGGTCTCCCAGTGTACCCTAGTATCTCAGTGTCCCCAGGTCTCCCAGTGTCTCTCAATGTCCCCTAGTGTCCGAGTGACATGGGGACACTGGGATACATGGGGACACAGACACTAAGGGACTGGGAGACATGGGGACACAGAAATGCCCCATTTTTGTGGATGTTCTTCCCTTTTGGCACTTCTGGTTATGTGATTTGTGTCAGTGGCCCACTCTTTTACCCCATCCATAGACTTCCTGAGTTACTGGACACTGCTGTTAGGGGGTATGGGTTTACTTGAAAGCATGAGATTAGCATAGGGTATGTGTTTTCTCATAGCTGCATCCTATGACTTTCCCTCCAGCACCATCTCCATCAGATACATGACGCTTAGGAGGTAGGACTGTTTTAGTGTTTCTGGTCAATAAGATTTGGTAATTAGGCGCATCATAATTGTCAGCACCAGGCCCACTAGGCTCTTAATCTGGCCCTGACCACAGGCAAATAATAACAATCCATAGTTAGCCTGTGATGTCTGAAGTCAGATGGTACAACATAGGTTCTGCTTAGATTATCTTGTGGCTGTTCTGCATTTCCTCATCAGACATTGTTTTTTTGACTGACACAAAAGACAAGGTTGACAGACTTTGCAGGATACACAAGGAATGCACAAAGAATATATTTAGCAAAGAGGTTTGGTTTTAAAATAAAATCTTTACCTTAGAGGTATAAAAACATACCAGAATTATAGCATCTCTGGACAGTGTTGATATCTTTGATTGCAAATGGCTCTGTTTAATAGGAGTTTATCTGAGCCCAGAACAGGAGTCCCAATGAAATACGTTAGAAAAGTTGGTAGGACGCCAGCAGCTAAACTTTCAGATACAACATGAGGAGATCTGTTCTCTAAATGTATCATCTTACTCTTCAAAAACCTAATCCTAATCAACAACATGCTTACTTTTTAGTGCACTCACTTATTCCCTTTGAGCAAACCTGCAAGGAGCAAGGTGTCTGACTGGGATTTGCTCTCTAAAAGCTCCTTCATGTTGGTCAAAGGCATCTGGAGAGCTGCAGGGAATGAAGAGGCCGATAATTGGCTTGCTTTGTGGGCAGTGGGTCCTTGAGGCTGCCAGACCATCTTGAAAATTACTGGTTTGTGGAATCTGAGGGTTTTTTTATATTGAAGGTACAGAAAAACTCTACGAGATTTACTTTGTGCATCAAGATTCACAGTATCTGATTGGGCGGCCTTGTTTTTAAAGTTGCTGAAAGTTCCATAAAGATTTAGTTGTTGCCTAGTGATATTCAGTCAGTAACGATTTTTGAACTTCATTCACACCTGAGTGTATGTTTTCATCTTGATAACAATCCTGATTTTTCT